CATAGATCAGGCAGCTTATAAACAACAAATATTTATTTTTCACAGTTCTGGAGCCTGGAAAGTCCAAGATTAAGGTGCCAGTAGATTTGGTGTTTGGTAAAGACCTGTTTTCTGGTTCATACATGGCTATTTTTTCTTCCATAACTTCACATAGCTAAAGAGAATAAGGAATGTCTCAGGTCTCATTGATAAGGACACTGATTCCATTCATAAGGGTTCTGCCCTCATGACCTAATTACTTCCCAAAGGCCCTACCTCCTAATAACATTACCTTGAGGATTAGGTGTCAACGTATGAATTTTGGGGAGACACATTCAGACACTGAAATCAGTTAAAATTAAGAAGAATCAAAAGCTTCTTCCTCCAGCACGCGTGTACAAGAATAGCCAAAAATTAGATGATGTAATAACACACAGAGCCACATTCACTCAAGACTTTATAAATTAAGGGTAGCTTTTTATTCAGCACTTAAAACACATGACTTCAGGAATCAGCTGAAATTCTCAAAATCCCCATAACTAAAATTTAGTAATTTTGTAATTTAATAAGTCAAATAATGGTTATGCCAGAACTATTCCTTGTTTCTTCATATCCACCATTTCTTTCTTTCTATCTTTTTCCCTTTTTGCTTCCTATATCTCTAGGCCTGTATCTTTTATTTATTCATGTGGAAAAGTTCTTAACTGCAGGTTCTGCAAATTCTATTATTCAGTTAAACATTTCTGAATATCCACAGTGTTAAAGGTAGTGTTGAGAGATAATGCATGACTGTGATATTATACTGTTCCTTATAATTAGTAGCTGGGATATTGTGATTTACAAGAAAAATATGTATTTGATCTTTGTCCACAGTTTCTGGCTCAGGGGCTCCCCAAATCCTTGGGATTTAAGTGTAGAGAGTGAGAGAGGTGTCTTTTGTTGTTAGTAAGATGCCATTTAGCACACCAGCAATGGGGGCTGGTTGCCAGTAGAGCCCACTGCTGACTAGAGAATTGAAACTTTCGATCTAATCCCCCCACCCTCCACCTGGGGAAGGGGAGGAGGGGCTGGGGATTGAGTTCAAGCACCAATGGTCAATGAATTCATCAATCGTGCCTATGTAATAAAGCCTCCATAAAAACCCAAATGGCCAAGGTTCTGAGAGCTGCCAGGTTAGGGAGCACATGCAAGTGCTGGGAGAGAGGCCCTCCTGGAGAGAGCATGGCAGCTCTGCACCCTTTCCCCATATCTGGCCCCAGCATCTCTTCCATCTGGCTGCTCCTGAGTTTCATAATAAATCTTGTATAATAAACCAGTAATCTAGTAAGTAAACAGGTTTTCTGAGTTTGGTGAGCCTCTCTAACAAGTTAATTGAGCCCAAGAAGGGGGCTATGACAGCCTCTAATTTGTAGCCTGTCAGGAGCAAAGGTAATAGCCTGCGCTTAGACTGGTGATTGGCTTCTGGAGGGCATGGTACTGAAGCTGGAACCTGTGGAGTCTGATGCTATTTCTGGGTAGATAGTGTTGGAATTGCACTCAGTTCTGGACACCCAGAATTGCTTAGTGGTGTGGAGAAACCCCTGACACACACGTTCAAATTGGTGACCAGAACATTTAGTATCTAAACAAGTTAACTGAGGTTCTGGAGGAAATCAGGCAATGAATGGGCCTGAAAAATAAATAATATTCTCTTCATTCCCCTCCCCCCAAATAATTTTTTGATAGCTACCATATTGAGTATCTACTATTTGTCAAACTGTATAAATGCTGAAAATTAAAAAGTAAGGCATAATCCCTGACCTTTAAGGAACCTGCTTCTCATTACTTCTGAGACATAAAGACTAGGGTGATAGAAGTGAGCAAAGTACTTTCCAAAGGTATTGAGAAAAATGACATAAAACTAGTTTAAAGTTCCCAAGAATGGAGAAAAAAAATCCAGTATGCTTCTTTAAAATAAATTAGAAAAATTAAAACATTCAAACCATGAGCTTTTACTTGCCCAATTTACCAACTTATCTTCTATGCCTAAATAACTCCTGCTCTTTAACATCTGTTAGCCAAGAAAATAAAATGTATAACTTGCAGAGAAAGAAAAAAAAACTACTAATCCTGGAAAATCAAAGCCTTTAAGAAAAAATAAACTATCAATTCTCACTTATTTAGAATGCCAGGACCTTTATTTCATAACTTTATTACTATTGTTGTTGTTGTTCTTTATAAATCTACAGTTCAGACCATACAGCACCAAGTACCTCAGATAGTGTTTACCATAAATATGACGGTGGAAGTAGATGATCAAGACATCATTTATACATAGAGAGCCTACGGTAGGGGATAGAAAATTCTAAAAATTAAAGTTTACAATATAGTAAGTGAATCAAGACCAGTAACAATAAAAGCAATTTGTTCAAGTGCAGGACAATGTAATGAAATGCTAAATTATGCAGTGCGGTCCCTACATCAGGAACAGCAAATTCCCAGCTCACGTGCCACCACCTGGCCCTGCCTCCTCCATGTAGATATTCACAGCTGGGTCTATGTCTTGTTCCCATGGGGTTCAGAAGTGGCCTCAAAATCCCTGGTAGAAGCTCTTCGGGCAGTCATTTCCAAACAATGTCACCTGGTATTCATGAAGAAAATACTGGCCAAGACTGCTGTAAGAGCTTATAAAGAGGACAGCCTAAAATGGATGGCAATTCCAGCCCTACCACCTGTGAGGGAAGATATGGAGGGAGGAATGCCAAGAGCAAAGGGTAAATGTCTGGGGCTTAGCCATCAACACTGAGCCCATGAGACAGGAAGCAGGAGCTGGGAAAGCCATCACATAGTAGAATCCAAACTCAAGGGAAAGCAATGGGTTAATTCATTCCACAATATTTATTTAGTGCTTGCTACTCACCAGGTAGAAGTCCCAGTTTTGTTCTTGAGAAGTTGTGGAGGGGGGGGGAGCTGTAGAACATGTGTAAGGCACTTAACCCCCCTGGGTCTTAGTAATATTGGGGAGCCACATCAGTCTACGACTGCTGTAATGAAGTAACACAAACTGGGTAGCTTAAAACAAGAGAAGTTTATTGTCTCACAGTTCTGGATGCTGAAAGTCTGAAATCAAGGTGTCAACAGAAATCCTTCCATATCCTTTCTAGCTTTTAATGGCTTGCTCGTAATCTTGGGCATTCCTTGGCTTGCAGTTGCACAAATCCAATCTCAGCCTTGTCATCATATGGCATTCTCCCAGTGTGTCTCTGTCTTCATTTATCCATCTTATTATAAGGACACTAGTCATACTAGTAGAAGAGCCCTCTTATAAGGATACTAGTCATACTAGTCATATTAGTAGAAGAGCCCTCCCTACTGAAGTATGACCTTATCTTACCTAATTACATCTGCCACAATCCTATTTCCAAATATGGTTATATTCAGAGGCACTGAGGGTTAGGATTTCAACATTCTTTTGAGAACACAATTCAATCTATAATAGGAGCTAAACTGGAAAACCTCTCAACTCTCAACATTTTTAATGCTCAGTGCAAAAAAAAATGGAGCCTGTCCCATTTAAAAATGTCTGCCATTGGTGATCAGGCTCCACCAAACCCCTTTAGGGATCATGGAGTCACCGTCTTCTGAAATAAGGATGTTCTATTTAATTCCTCCTAATATTGTGCCAAAATCTACCCACTTATAACAGTTCCGCAATGTGAGCTTGCAGGTGATAGCCCTTCAGATATTTAAAGGGTGTTAAGAGTCCACATTGTTTCTTTCACCAGTTGAGCATCCCCCACATCCTGTGATGTTTCATCCCAACACCATTAAAGTCCCTCTGCCCCATATGGACCCCATATGGACTCCAGGTGGTCTTACCTTCTTAAATTGTGGCCTTAGTACTTGGTGCAACACGCTGAAACATGCAAGCTACACCCAAACTAACACCTCCCTTGTTGAGCAACTGAAGGTATTGGCTCTCTCATCACTGACTCATACTTTGCTGAACCATCAAGCCTTGTTCGTGTCTTCTGCCATTTCATGTCTCCATCCTGATTTCATGCAGTTGTCTGACCTTTTAGATCACCAGGATAACCTACAAGAGAATAAAAGCCAACTACCAATCAGAGTGGAGAATCATCCAAAGGGTTTTCATCACTCCTCCACCCTAGGGACATGACCCAGCAGCAGAACAGGCAGAGGACAGAAAGCTTGGCTGGCTGCTCACATGAGACCAAGAGAAAATGGAAGACAGAAGGGAACCTTAGCACTTGCAGATTTCTGAGAGGAGAAGTGGAGAAGGTGGGAGCTTTAGGATGAGAACACAGATAAAAGCTGCGGGAGAAGAGGAAGAGAGCCTAGAGAAAGCTGCGAGAATACACCCACTACCTCCTCTCCTGGCAGCGTCCCTTGTGGGGACACTGCAAAAGTCTGGGGGTGATGTCTCATGTGCCTGTGCAGCGTGACTAGATCAAGGGGCACAACGCCCCATCTCTGAATCTCCTGAATCTGGATTTATCACTAGTGACCTCAAATAAATTGTTACCTGGATCTTCCTTAAGGTCCAATTTTAGATCACCTTAGCAGAAAAGATGACCCAAGCAATAGCAGGAAGGAGAAGAGAATCCAACAACTCTCAAAGCCAAGCACCACCTCTGGTCCACTGTGAGAATTAGAGATAACCTCAGACTCACAGGAACCCATCCAGAGACAACAATCCATGCCTCCCTTCTTTTGTGCACACAAACTGTGTATTGTCTATTTCTATAAAATTTCCACAAGTTGAGTGAGTAGGTCCTCATTTCACATTTTTTTATTGGTTTATCACTTACCTCTCCACAGACCTCACTTCAACCCAGAAGCAAAGCATATGGAGGGAGGTGAAGCAGGTTGGTGGTTGCTCCTTTCACCTCACTCATGTCAAACTCCTGTAACACAATAAACCACTCTCCGACATCTCATTTCTCACAGTTAAATAGGTTTAGGTCAAGGAGATGTGACAGACATTATTTAAACTAAAATAAAAAGAACACTGATAATAATAGATGGGAATTTTAATTTTTATTGATAAGCCATGATTTCCTACTGAATACATAACAGAATACAATTAACAATAACATAAACATCCTAACATTTAAAAATTTAAACTTTCAGAATCACTTTGACTAGCATACAATGCTTTAATTTGGGGGAAAATAATGTTTTATTTCAACAGTATTCTTCTCATATGCAAAAGAGATGCTTAAGGTAGGGGAAATGAATAAAATTGTACAAAGCTTCCTGTGTAGAAAACAAATTGACTCTACTACATCAGCTGCACCCTACTAAAACTCTAAAACAGAAAGCCTGGAAGGACCAAAAAAGAGCCACATTCTACTGAAGCTATCAAAAATAAATCTTAAAGATCTACAAATGGAACATGGCACTACCCTCTACCACTAATTCAATGCACTGGACAGAAGAGTGGTAAATCATAGCCTCATGACAACATGAGATAAAATTATTCTTAAATATGAAGCAATAAATGTATCAGAATCATTCATCCCTATTACAGAGATATGCACATATCAATGTGAACGTGTCCTTTGAAGTGAAAAGCACAGAAATCATCTACAAAATATCTATTTTCCCGGGTTACAATAACTGAAATGAAAATGATAGTTTATGGAATGATGCAAATGGCACTGTCTTTTGACGAGGCATACAAAAACACACTGGCTAGAAATAGTTTTGAAACAAGCCTACTCTCACTAATGTATCCTTAATTAAAAATTTATATTTACTGGTTAGTTTCTGGAAGAAAGTAGGAAAACAGTACTCTATTCAAAGTAGTGATAAAAATAATTGCACCTCAAATTACTCCCAATGTAACATAAGATATTGACTATTAACATAAATATTTGAATAGATAATATTAACTCTTTAAGTTCTTTTTTTTTTTAATTTTTTTTGTTTTATTTATTTATGATAGGCACACAGTGAGAGAGAGAGAGGCAGAGACATAGGCAGAGGGAGAAGCAGGCTCCATACACCGGGAGCCCGACGTGGGATTCGATCCCGGGTCTCCAGGATCGTGCCCTGGGCCAAAGGCAGGCGCCAAACCGCTGCGCCACCCAGGGATCCCAACTCTTTAAGTTCTTAAAAGTGCTGTGCTTTATTGGAGTCTGAAAACAAAACAAAACAAAACAAAAAATGAGGAATATACTCTTCTAACAGAAGCCTCTACCGAAAGTAGAATAGTTTTTGAAGCTGACCCAAGAGCAAGTCCACTTACTATAATGTCTCAGACTTGAACTGTGCAAGAAAATATGCCCCTAGGAATATTTAATAGCATCTGGACCCATGGTAGCCATCTGGCAAATTCAAATAAGTACTGTCTTTATGTTAAGAAACCTTATCGAGTAGGTATTTACACCATATTTCCACAGAAATCAGTATTAAACTTCAATAAAGCAAATGAGAAAAAAGTAAGGATGTCACAAAAACTCTAGATTATATGCCAGCTGGTTAATAAAATACCTTTTTCTGAAGATAACAAAGAAAAATGATAGCTCCAATTTTCTTTAAATGTCATAGGATAGCCAGAAATGTTGAATTAAATAATTGAATTATATCAAAGATAATTGGTACTATAGTATCAGACTATTTATAACTATATTTTACATTAACAGAAATCGGGGCTAAATATAAATTTTAAAAAATAACTATATCCAGGCTCAAAAGAATGGGAGCAGGGATAATTATGCTATCTACAGTTCTGAAAATCCCCACATGTAGGATATGCTATTGCATATATTAAGTAATATTGTTAGGTAATAGGCGTATATCTGGATTTTATATTAGCACAATACTCCTCAGATTACAGTTTACCCAAAATACTAAACCAAAGATACTATTGTTACAGTACTTTAAAGATATAAAGTATAATAGAACCATACAATAAAAAAAAAAAAGCATTTCATCAACCGGCCATGTTTTTTCTGAAATCATAGACACAGCAAACAAATTGCTGGTTGCCTTAGTTTCTTCTTTAGAATTCTAAGTTAAGGTAGTAGGATGGGGAAACCCCATATAAAAGTGTTGTTCTATCTTTGAATTGTTTGGCTGCTAGTTATTCAGTCTCTGGAACCACTGGCCAGTCAAAACCAGAAATGACATATGCTGGTGTCTTAATGTTTCCCATTCGGTAAAAGAGAAGGGGAGATTTTACATTAGTTCATATCAGGAAATGAAATGGGTGGCATTCTAAACAGAAGAATCTCAGCATAAGCAAACTTAAAGGTAAAATGAGGTTTTTTTAATATGAAGAAAATAAAATAGTCTATACTATTAGTTATTACTACCATATGTCCTCCTTTTCCCTTCTGCCTGTGGCTTTTTAATCACTTTTAATGTCACCCCACTGCTATGTAACAAAGTCAGTTCTCTAAGAAAGATATAAAGAAGGACAAAGACAAGGCATCACCATACTACACACCATGTAGTACAGCTAACTGACTTCTTACTCTACCTCCTCCTCCCCTTCTTCCTCCTCCACTTTTAATAAATTTATAATAAAAAGAGACGCATTATGAGAAGTTACAAGATGATTTTTTAATCTGGAAACCTGAAGTACTTCACAAAAAAGTATTAGAGTTCTAGTTTTTAAATGAGGATATATGGCCTAAAAAAGATACATGCTATCTTCCACTGGCCTTTCCATTCTAGTGTTTCCCAATATACTAGACAAGAAGTTCAGCATAAATTATTTACTGAAGAATATAAGATACCAGTGGTCAGGATAAGGTTCCCTGGGCAAGGCAGGCGAGGAGAATATCCTTTGCCAACACTCTCCCCCTTAATCAGAGGATAGTTTCATGCTTAAGAAGTCCTAGGATATAAAGGCCAAAAGCACCATAGCGGAAGGCCCAAACATACAAATGCTATTTTTAGATCAGACTGTTTCAAATGTGTAACAGAACAAGCTTTTACCCACTTAAAAGTAAATACAAGAAGATTATTTATTTGATATTTATCTTCTTCCTCTCCATAGAGCACTCTCTGAGGATCTACTTTCTATAGGTTTCAAGCTTTAAAACACTGAATGTTGGTAACTCCTACTTTGGTATCCAAAATACCCAAAAGCAATTTATGAACATCCACTCCACTATAATTTCTTAAAATTCACTAAGATAAAAAAGTCTTAAAAATTAATTTTAAAAGATATTATTTGCATACTTTATTTTTGATGGATTCATTTTTAAACAGTTGAAATACTGTTGGAGTTCATGGCAATTATTTTCTCCATGTTCACTGGAGAGAAATGCCATGGAACTAAGGAGCAAAATTAAATCATTTCTTAGATATAGTAAGAGATCTTTAATTTATTTTTGATATATCTGAAATATTTCAATGTGCTTGGAAAAGAAAGGAAGAAGGAAGGAACGTTAGAGAGAAAGGAGGAAAAGGAAAGGGATGGGAGAAAAGGAATTTTTCTTTAAAATTTTCACCCAGATAAATTAATATTACCCTTCAGAATACAAGGTAACCAATTATCCAGGTGGTCAAAGTTCAGAAATCTTAAGATTCAGATAAGCATTAGATGTTACCAGACAGCTGGCTGTCTGATGCTCAGACACCTGAGTCTAGAGAGCTTCTACAGGATGCTGAGCAACACCCTACCATACTTCAGGTCAGTGGTCATGTTCACCTCTCCTGGTCCCCATCAAGATCCAGCTTCTTTTTTTTTTTTTTTAAGATTTTATTTATTTGTTCATGAGAGACACAGAGAGAGAGAGAGAGGCAGAGACACAGGCAGAGGGAGAAGCAGGCTCCATGCAAGAAACCTGATGTGGGACTCGATCCCAGGGCTCCAGGATCACGCCCTGGGCCGAAGGCAGGTACTCAACTGCTGAGCCACCTAGGGGTCCCAAGATCCAGCTTCTTTCACAGACAACAAGGAGACCAGCTGGCTGTGTCTTACACAGGATCTTGTCGGACCCTGGTTAACTGTCCCCCATTCCTAACAAAGCTGCATCTTCTGGTCTAGGATCTTCTAGTCTAAATCACCTAGGGCACATACTGCCATGCCTTCTGACTCTTATTCCTGAAACAGAGCCAAAGTGTGGGGATGAGGAAGTGAGAGAGGGCAGTGCACCCAGGACCCCCTAGGGCAGGTTTCTGTAAACTCCTCAAGCTCTGAATCACACATTCCCCCTCTCCTCTCCAAAAGAAAAACAGGAAGGGTAAAGATTGGTGGATGAGATAAAGATTGGGTGAAAAAAAACACCACTTCACTTAAAAATTAAAAAAAAAAAAAAAACCCAACCCTCACCTCCTACATTCTATAAAAGAAGTGATATCCAATTAAGAAGGATATACTGAGACCACTGGGGATAAGGTAGGGTGGCAAATAGGGGTGGATAGATGTGGGAACAGAACAGAGCAAGCTCCTCCTTCTGGTTGCTTTCTCCCAGTTCCCAGACTTTAATATGTTTAATGCTGAAGCCAACACTGGTGTATAGTAATGCTTAAGAATCTAGGCTCATTTCTTCTAGGAAATAAAAAGAGTAATCTAAAATAACACCTTTATTCTGGGAAAAATGACCTCCATGAAACACCCTTAAATGATTTTTAAGAGGGGGGGGGAAATAAAGACGCACAACTGCAAGACTCTGATTTTTTTTTGTTCTACACAAGTCAGGTAAAGACAGCATTTATGCAGCTATACACGCTAGGACCTGTTGTGCACCATCCCCCACAACCCCATAAGAAGAAAAACATTGTTTTTCAAAAATAGAAGCAATACTTGGTAATAAAGACAATTCAATCACGTATGACTTCCAGAAATGTCAATGTTACATGGAGTCCTTATAAAATGAATCACAGCCACTGCTGTATAGAGAACAGCAGCATAAAACAGAACACAACAATGACTGTAGAATGACAAGGAGTGGCCGCTGCTCCTCTCTCACAAGGACTGCATCCATGATCATCCCCACAGAGGTCACAAGGAGACAGCTTCACTTCTGAGTTGTAACTCCTCACCGCTTGTCTCCCTGTGTGGAGGCAGATATTAGTTTACATGGATCACTTGTTTAGAAACATATACTCTGCCAAAACTTAAGAGCATTTCAGTACACTTCTCTGAATTTTCTATTCTTCACATAATTGTATTTTTCTTTACAAGAAACAACTGAAGGGATGCCTGGGTGGCTCAGTGATGGAGCATCTGCCTTCAGCTCAGGACATGATCCTGGGGTCCTGGGATTGAGTTCTGCATCAGGCTCCCTGCAGGGAGCCTGGTTCTCCCTCCACCAGTCTCTGCCTCTCTCTCTCTCTCTCTCTCTCTGTGTCTCTCATGAATAAATAAATAAAAATCTTTAAGGAAAAAAAAAAAGAAACAAACAAACAACTGAAATGCTCAGGAGGGGCCCACACTGCTAACCAAATCTAAGAAAGAAACAGTGCCTTCCTGGCACGGTGTCCACCACCAGCAGTTGGCCGGCACTCAGTGGGAAAACACACTGCAGCAGCCCACTGCAATCCCACATACACACCAATCTCTTCCCAGAACAAGGACTTTGGATTGAGAATTGTTTAACCTCCATGAGAGATTATTTTAGAGTGTCATTTTCTATGCATTCAAGCAAAGCTCAAATCATTAGAAGATTTACCGTGGGCTTTATTAAAAAATATAAAAATGTGGAGAAGCCTGCATATGTAATGCATCTCAATATTTCAAAATGTTGAGCAGGTAGCATCCAAAAACCAATCAACTTGGGTAAATTTTACAGTATAAGCTAATATTTTTTTAGAGCTAGATAAGGAAACCTACAGCACTATAGTAAACTTGCTATATGACATATATGATTTTTATATTTACAGTTTTTAAAAACATTCTATTTTCAGATTTCTTCATGATTTTTAATGTTATATTTTAAAGTATTTTTATTATTATATGTTTTTTAATTTTAGGATCTTCAAAGCTGGTTTTCAGGTTTTTATTATTTCTGACCTTTCCCATATTTTCATTTGAAAATGTCTCCCTCATAAATAAGTTGCTTTCCCCAAAAAAATTTACATAGGCTGAATATTTTGTTTCTTGAATGTTTAAAATATTCTCTATTTACTGAAGAAACATCAATTGGAGAATTTTTGCGACTAGTTTGAATTCCAAAGTTGGATGATGAAACACTACCACTGAGTCTCCACAGTGTATCCCATCATTCCACCAGAAAAGAAATGCTGTCCTCAGTGTTTTCCCCAAACCTCCCATACAAACCTGGGCAAATGCTCTTCCCCAATTCTACCAGGAGGCAAATGCTGAGACTTGTTGACTCAGAAGAAGAAAGAACTGGTGTTCTTAACCTTAATCTTCAATGATCCTCTATCGAATACCTCTAATGTTAATAAGTCCATTTTACTTTAGAGTATAATTATCTACAACTACAGAACACGTCAAAATGTTAACGATTCTCAGTGCACTCTGATGATTCTGAGCCACCAGGAGTACTCACTCAGAGTACAACTTTTTAGAATTACAGAGATCATACACTCTCAAAATGTTACTCTGTGACTGAGTGTAGAGTAGTCCTAACTTGGGTAATCTACAAACCAGATCTCCACTTTCACATCTTGAATATTTAACATTTTATAAAGTAGGAAGTCACCAGGAAAATCAAAGAAGTTCAGGTTATTTTCCAAACAGGACTATCTTCTTCTTGATATACTAAAAAAAAAAATCTGATATAATGTATAAATTTTAGCAAAACAACAGACTCAGCTTAACCCATCCCAATCTTTTATACTGTAAATTAGGCTTATTTTCTCTCCTGAAGAAATCCCATTTTAAAATAGAAAACAGATGGAAGGGATGTTTGGAACAGAGGCAAAACCTTGGAAACTGCACATAACTGGACTCACAGTTATGTCAGTTTTCTTTGTAAATTTTGGAATTGTGACTTAAAAACCTGAAACATGAGGAATAGCCTAACCATATCTTATTAGGAAAGATAATGACTTTTTTGTATTCATCTGCTAAATGCTATCATGTGACTTTTTAAAATTATCAATTGTCTTCATTTAAATGGAAAGCTCATCTCCTGTACTTCACTTCCTACCCTCCCCACACACAAAATAGGTGGCCACTTGAAATAAATGAATGTCTGGCTTAACTTCTAACGTATTAGGAACTCTAGAACACACTTACTCGGTTCATAGTAATCCACGATGGACACCAAAGCATCTTGTGTGTTTGAAACTTTAAAGTTTCTCACAGCAGGAATATCAACACAAATCTGGGTTTCATTTACCTTGAAAACAATACAAAAGACTCTTAAGGGGGTGACAGATGATGTGTTCATGATAAAGCAAAAGACATTTCTTTTTCTTATCATTTTAGGAAATGGATAGAGACTAACATTTAGGGAGAATTTCTATGTGCCCAGTACTATGGTAATAAGCACTCTATATAAATTATCTCATTTAACTCATAAAACAATTCTTCAAGATTAGGTATTGTACTCACTTCCATTTTACCAAAAGCAATACTGAGAATCAGAGAGGTTAAGAAAGCAGCAAGTCCATGGATGCACGCTCCTGGGCCCTGGTGCCTTATCTAATCCCCACCTCAGGCAATGCACCCACCTTGGGTGCTGCTGATAGCTCACAGCAGCACCCTTCTCTTAAGAATTGCCCTCAGCTCAGGGGAGCAACCTCACCCAGTAAGAGGAAAGCTCCACAACCAATCATAATATTAAATAAAAACCTTAAACTTGTGTTTCATGTTCAAAATCAAGCCCATGGTATTCAAGCAGTATGTAATATATAAAAACTCTTGAACAAAGAAACAAGCTAGAGATTTTGAATGACTTTTAACAGAGTTTTGGCCAGAATGGTTTTTGAAGTCCTAAAACAAATGAGAATGTTCAGGAACTAGTTTTTTTTTAAGCGTACATATCGCTAAAGCAATATATTTCTGATTCTTACTTGGCAAAACTGGAATGAGAAACATAGGTATTCCCCCAATATAACATGAAATCCTAAGAACACTTAAGAACTCAATTTTGATTCAACCTAAAAGTTTCACAGAGATGTTAGAAAAAAGAGTAAGTTATATCCCAGAAGTTTTGAGACATACAACTACAGTCTTGAATTCTTCACTATGTTTCTCTCATATATTTTATGCACCTTATTTTTGGATCAGTAATTTTCATACAACAAAGAGAAGAGTACATGAAAATCATATAATAATTTGTATAAAGACTAAACCTCGAGAATATTCTTCTATGATTTAAGCACCTAATATATATATTTATTGCAGGAATATTAAACACTTTGGGACTTATTAAAAGCTCCATGAAAGCATTTTAAAACTCATAATTAAAGCTTTCATTGTCAACATTTACAGACATAATTTTAGCAATTCCCTAAGGCAGAGGGGTTCTCAAACTGAGACCTGGACAGAATTTTTGAAGTTACAATGTGACAATTTTTTTAATAATAAATTTCTTTTTTATTGGTGTTCAATTTGTCAACATACAGAATAACACCCTGTGCTCATCCCGTCAAGTGCCCCCCTCAGTGCCCATCACCCATTCACCCCCACCGCCCGCCCTCCTCCCCTTCCACCACCCCTAGTTCATTTCCCAGAGTTAGGAATCTTCATGTTCTGTCTCCCTTTCTGATATTTCCTACCCATTTTTTACATAGGTTTACATCTGACATGAAATAATGACTTAGTTATCAAGACTTTCATCAGGCTCATCATTAATAACCTTGTCTTTAAGTTGACTTTATAGTGATGGCTTTTTAGGGGAGACAATATAAGATTGCCACATTTGGGTCATTCAGGGGACACATAAAGCTGAAATAAAGACAAAGGAGGGGATCCCTGGGTGGCGCAGCGGTTTGGCGCCTGCCTTTGGCCCAGGGCGCGATCCTGGAGACTCGGGATCGAGTCCCACGTCGGGCTCCCGGTGCATGGAGCCTGCTTCTCCCTCTGCCTGTGTCTCTGCCTCTCTCTCTCTCTCTCATTCTGTGTGACTATCATAAATAAATAAAAATTAAAAAAAAATTTAAAAAAAAATGACACAGTAGTCATTCAAATATTTAAAAAAAAAAAAAAGACAAAGGATATAGGCCTAGAGTAGGGCAGACTTTCCAACACAATAAATGGCAGCCTTGTCACTAGTTAACCACATAAAACTCACATTTTACTACTTACAGAATCTAAATATAGGTTGAGTTTTCCATGATCATGTTCCACTTTCCTCACTGTCTCGCTCAGAGGAATCGCGTCTGAAGGCACCGTAAAACCACTGAGGAGGTTCACTTCCATCAGAGCCATGCCACTTCTAGCTGGGCCCAAAAATCTAAATCAGAGGAAAGGATGGAAAGAAGAAAATCCTTTAGGAAAAACCTAAAGCTACTGGCAAACTCTCTTCACATATAAATTAAAAATTCCAAGTATTATTCCAAGTACTTACTGTTTAGTTGAAGTAAAAAAAAAAATCACTATAGAAAATTATAAAACTGGCAATCCTTTCCTTATAGATATGAAATTCTTATGATTTTCAACCACATGAGGAATAATGACTTAGCAATGCATCTGTTTGACATGAAATGCCTGCAATGTATCAACCTTGGGCCCATATATTGTAACAAGCACAACCTGGATGCCCTTTCAGTGGGCAACTCTGTGTTCTGGGGGGGATTCCAAATTGAATTGCATTTTTAATTTTTTCAGAAGTTGGCACCACTAAGCTTTCCAGCTGAAAGCCAGGAACTGAAAAAGAAACTGAAAACTTGACCACTTAGCAGCAGACCACCGCCAGAACTTTAAGCAATCTTCTCTTCATCTGGTTTTAGAAAAAGAAGACCAGTAGGGAGAGTCTTTTCCTTTGTTCTTCAAAATGTACTTGGAGCACATTCTGTGTTTTCTTTGGCCACCTAGTGGGAATTATAAGCCTTGGAAAATTCTGTTACACTACATTGTTCTCTCACCCTGTCCTACACAATGTGAGCATCAAACAATCTGGGCACCAACAGTGTTTGGTCTCCTTTAAAATAAACAGTTTTCCAAAAATGAATAGGTGGCAAGAGCTTTTTGTTTGGAGTTGAAAGAGCCCAGTGTGGTTATGGAAAGGAGTCTGTCTACAACGTGAAAGGATCAGAACATTGTTAAGTGGGTTTCTGTTGTCCCTTCAGATGGCAAAAGCAAGAAGGGCTGGTGGAGAACCTTGCTTTTTAGAGCAACAAACCAATGGCTGCCAAACATGACTGATTGAAAAGCCATATAGTACAACTGCCGACAACAGCTGGCTCAGCAATCCCAAACAAGTGAAACCATCTGTGGAGGGATGCACTAAGCCAAAAGAGATGCTTTTGAAAACTAGTAAGTCCACTGCAGCCAGAGGTTTGTGTCTGAGCAAACATTTAAGATGAGAAGAACAGCCAATCCAATTAAATATGATGACTTTTAGTACATCATCAAAAGTGCCTTGGTTAACCTGGTCTTTCTACCAGCCCAGAGCAGAATTTGTCAAATGACCATGCCACACACAGAAAATCTTGTCCGAGATGAGTAAGGGCTTGAACCCTACTGATGGGAATAAAGTGCCTAAAATATCGGTTTTTCTTTTTATTAAGTGCCACTGAAAAATTTCACTGAAAATGTTATTTGTATTCATATCAGATTTTTCTCAGAAGACTCGTAGCAGCATCCAAACCCTCTTTATAAAACTACTACTCTCACATGAAAACTGTTCCCTTCTCTAGTTTCTCCCAAAAAAAAAAAGAGGAAAGTCATCTATCAAAGGCTATTGCCCATCTGATTCCTGATGATAGGGTAAGATTGGGACTTGTGCATCCTTTCATGAGCCCTTATAAGTAATGAGTCCCCATCATGATCTGAATCCTACTTTCACCTAATTTTCCTTATCTGTTTCTTCAATTAACCTCCCTAGGTAAACTCCCTCTCACAATTCCAAAGACTTTTCTGCTTTGCCCACTTCAAAACTAGAATTTTAACACTTATTTAGAAGATTTAAGTTTAAATTAGAAAGGAAGACAAACCGTGAGATACTCCTGAGAAACAAACTGAAGGTCACTGAAGGGAGGTGGGTGAGGGGATGGGGTAACCAGGTGACAGGCACTAAGGAGGGGACGTGACATGATGAGCACTAGGTGTTATACTGTATGTTAACAAACTGAATTTAAATTTTAAAAAGATATGTTTTTATTAATTTCTCTCTGTCTCACCTCCAAACAGTAATTTCCATGAAGACAGGGCCTGTGTCTTTTGTAGATCACCATCCAATATCTGACACAGTGTTTGGCACATAATGGAGACTCAACTGATATTTACTGAATGAATGAATGAATGAATGAATGAGAAAAGCAGGGACAATAATACTACCTGCTTTGTAAAGTTATTGTAAAGATTAAATGAGATACATGTAAAACTGCTTGATACAGGGGCTCCTGGATGGTTCAGTGGTTAAGCGTCTGCCTTCAGCTCAGGTCATGATCCCAGTGTCCTGAGCTTGAGCCCCACAGTGGGCTCCCTGCTCAGCAAGGAGCCTGCTTCTCTCTTTCTCTCCCTCTGCCCCTCCGCCCTACTCATTCCCTCTCTCTCTCTCTCTCTCTCATAAGTAAATAAAATCTTTTTAAAGAAAAGTCCTTGGTACAATGTCTGGCATGTAAGCTTGTGATAAATGTAGCTTATTATTACTTACAATAATAATAATAACTTGATACCATTATTCTGGAAAAGGACCCAATCATAAGCTTCATAAACAATAATGGGAGTTCTACGTTCTTCTCAGCTAAAAAGGAAGCCACTGAAGAAAGTCTAATATCCCCCTACTGAGGGTCAAAACTGCCCAGTAATGAAGGGACAAACACATGTGAAATTTTATACCAAAATCATGAACGTTAAAGCCCAAAAACAGTAAAGATGGTAGCAGCAATGGAGGAGATTGGATTCAAGTGATGGCTAAAAGGTTGGCCACCTGCAGAAACACCCAGTGATGACTTTAAAGTACATCTGGCAGCTCAGGACCACATCCGTGGCTTCCAGCCCAACAACAAGCAAATTTCAACTAGAACACTAGGGGGTTCAACCCTAGAATGTTCAAGAACCTTCTAAAGGATTTGCTCTCAAACTTGTGTATGCATTAGAATGACCAAGAAAGCTGAAGAAGGCAGCTTCACAGACTGAAACTGTGAAGTCAGCAGATTTGAGTTGGAACCCCTTTTCCTTTTGACTTAACAAGATCCTCAGATGTGTGGATACAGACTGAATTTAAAAATCACCTTATTAAAAAAAAAAAAAAGAATCACCTTATTAAGTACTCCTGGAAACTAAAAGTGCCTATTTAACCAAGGTGAAGACCTTCTAAGCTGGAGCATTTTCACTGTGCCTACAAAAACTATTCTCTTCGTTAAACTTGCATGTTCTTATGAAGTCTTGGGGTAAAGCATACTACTAAAGGTTAAACATAAACCTGGAATAATTATTTAAGAGAAAATTACTAACCAAGAAATAACCGATTTTTAGAGTATTAAACATGATTGGTTAACTTAAAATTTTCATTAGACTCACATTTTATGAAATTTTTCTATTCAAAGTTATAAACACAAGGAAACCTTGTAAATAATTCTGGACACATTAAAAAATACTTAAATATATATAATTAAGCAATATTTCTAGTTTGTAATCTGAAGTATATTACATAACTGAAATCTTTGTTAAATATTAACTCCTTATATTGATATAGTTAGATAACTACATATATATACATTTTCAAATCTAGGGTGCCTGGGTGGCTCAGTTGGTTAAGCATCTGACTCTTGATTTTGGCTCAGGTCACGATCTCAGAGTTGTGAGACTGAGCCCCACATCAGGCTCAGAGCTGAGCATCAGCCTGCTTAGGGTTCTTTCTCTCTCCCTCTCCCTCTGCTTAGGGTTCTTTCTCTCTTCCTCTCCCTCTGCCCTTCTCCCCATCACATGTACTCTTTCTCCCTCTCAAAAATCAATCTTAAAAATCTTTAAAAAAAAAAAAAAAAAAGAGAAAGGACTGAAGGCAATACCAACCTTGTGCATACATTCAAATTCAAGTGATTGATATCATCTTTACTGTCTTTTACAACAACATCTAAATCAAAGGCTTCTTGGTCTTGAAGGGATCTCCGTCTTCTCTGAGAACCCGAATCTTTCACATTATAAATAACATTAAACTGCAACAAATAAATAGGCATAAATAATAAGTTAGTCACAATTATTAGCAATAAACTGCCATCATTACATATTTTAAATATTAGATAATGATTCTTTTTGGTATAAAAGCAACTAGATTTGTAAAAAAAGAAAAATTAGTTTTACTAGCTAACAAAGTATCATTAACAAATATTATAAAAGTTCATAAGAATGATCTTAAAAATTGAGAAAAATTTTAGGTAATACTCCAGAACAGGTATAGACCTTCATGATATTCACAGGTATTGGGTTTTTTTTCAAAGAACATAAAATATTCACATTAGGGGAAAAGTGAAACAATTGCCTATTTCTTTCTTGAAAGCATCCACCAATTTCTAAGCTCTGCTGCCCAACTGGTGTCATTTTTCACAAACTGAAACCTTAGAAACTCAGGAAGCTAAACCAAAACAAAAATATTTAAGAGCCCTGGTTGAACAGAAAACTGTTCAACTGTTCAGTATTCTTTTTGGTTGTACAATATTTTTAAAAGATGATAAAATAAATGATGGATTTCAAGACAGTTGGATCTTTTTCAGCAAATACTCTGTGCCTACCATTAGTGAAAGGTGCTGTGGCAACACTGGGCAAATGTGAGGACAAATTTGGATTTTTTTTTTTTTTTTTTTTTGTTTCCCAAACAGTTCCTAAGATCAGAAGCTTGGAGATATACTCAAAATTTCCTACCCCTGCCTCATGCCAAGTTGAATTGGAATCTATTTCAATTTTGTAACTCTTCTACCTTCATTGATACCAAGGTTCATAAGCTTTACCATTGTTATGAAATGTATTCTCTTACACTTGAATCACACACACACACACACACACACCTTAGAACTAAACATCTAGTCCCTCTATAGATTTTCACATTTAAAAAAAAAAAAATCTTCTTTCTAGGGAACCTGGGTGGCTGAGTCGGGTAAGCATCCAACTCTTAATTTTGGCTCAGGTCATGATCTCAGGGTCGGGGGATCAAGCCCACACTGGGCTTTGTGCTCAGTGTGGAGTCTACTTGTCTCCTTGCCCTTTGCTCCTCCCCCTGCTTGCACTCTCTATCTCTAAAATGAATAAATCATTTAAAAAACAAATAAATAATAAATCTTCTTTTTAAGCCTTCATCTTTCAGACCTAAGAGTTCTAACTTTTTATTCTGCTACACACAGCTCATAGAATCCCTTCATCCCCTTGATCATTCTGCTTATCTCACTCTGGACATTCTCCAACTCTTTCTTAAACTACAATTAAAATTTTAGAATATTCTTGGAGGAGCTGAAGAATGGTTTCATAAAACTGGAGAAATGATCTCTGTTATTTCCATTATCCCCTTTCCCGTGGTATGCAATCGTCCTTTAGAGACCAAAGTCATAGGAAACAAACAAGAACTACTAGTTTTGTCCTCTGGGTCATAATTAATATGCATCTATAACTTAGTATTGGGGTTAACGTTTGACCCACGAAAAGCTCAACTGCTCTTTTAGAGAACTTTGAAACATCTTGCAGTTTATTTCCAACAGCTTAGCATTTTAGTACTTGAAAGAGGTTAACATTTACTGTAAACCTGAGAGGTTTCTTTCCTTTCTTAGTACATTCCCAGGTGACCAACTATTTAATAATTTGTTTCTCCATTATAAGAAGTGTCTATAGGTTTCTTGCCTTGTTAATTTTTCCCATTCTCACTGGTGTGAGGTGGTATCTCATTGTGGTTTTGATTTGTATTTCCCTGATGGCAAGTGATGCAGAGCATTTTCTCATGTGTATGTTGGCCATGTCTATGTCTTCCTCTGTGAGATTTCTCTTCATGTCTTTTGCCCATTTCATGATTGGATTGTTTGTTTCTTTGCTGTTGAGTTTAATAAGTTCTTTATAGATCTTGGAAACTAGCCCTTTATCTGATATGTCATTTGCAAATATCTTCTCCCATTCTGTAGGTTGTCTTTTAGTTTTGCTGACTGTATCCTTTGCTGTGCAAAAGCTTCTTATCTTGATGAAGTCCCAATAGTTCATTTTTGCTTTTGTTTCTTTTGCCTTCGTGGATGTATCTTGCAAGAAGTTGCTTTGGCCGAGTTCAAAAAGGGTGTTGCCTGTGTTCTCCTCTAGGATTTTGATGGAATCTTGTCTCACATTTAGATCTTTCATCCATTTTGAGTTTATCTTTGTGTATGGTGCAAGAGAGTGGTCTAGTTTCATTCTTCTGCATGTGGATGTCCAATTTTCCCAGCACCATTTATTGAAGAGACTGTCTTTCTTCCAATGGATAGTCTTTCCTCCTTTATCGAATATTAGTTGAGAAAAATTAACAAGGCAGGAAACCACAAATATTGTAGAGGATGCGGAGAAAAGGGAACCCTCTTACACTGTTGGTGGGAATGTGAACTGGTGCAGCCACTCTGGAAAACTGTGTGGAGGTTCCTCAAAGAGTTAAAAATAGACCTGCCCTACGACCCAGCAATTGCACTGTTGGGGATTTACCCCAAAGATACAGATGCAATGAAACGCCGGGACACCTGCACCCCGATGTTTATAGCAGCAATGGCCACAATAGCCAAACTGTGGAAGGAGCCTCGGTGTCCATCGAAAGATGAGTGGATAAAGAAGATGTGGTTTATGTATACAATGGAATATTACTCAGCCATTAGAAATGACAAATACCCACCATTTGCTTCAACGTGGATGGAACTGGAGGGTATTATGCTGAGTGAAGTAAGTCAATTGGAGAAGGACAAACATTATATGTTCTCATTCATTTGGGGAATATAAATAATAGTGAAAGGGAATATAAGGGGAGGGAGAAGAAATGTGTGGGAAATATCAGAAAGGCAGACAGAACATAAAGACTCCTAACTCTGGGAAACAAACTAGGGGTGGTAGAAGGGGAGGAGGGCGGGGGGTGGGAGTGAATGGGTGACGGGCACTGGGTGTTATTCTGTAGGTTGGTAAATTGAACACCAATAAAAAATAAATTAAAAAAAAGAAACTGTGAAATAGGAGAAGCAAGAGAGACTTTTCACATTAAACCATTTATTACTTTTGGAAAAAAAAAAAAAGAAGTGTCTATAGGTATCTACCTTTTGTTTTCTGCATTGTTGATACAGATTTGGAGTAGTGAGCATTCTGACCAGTAGGTACCACATTTACTCCTGTGTTCTTCCAAGCTCAGCTAAGACTCATTTGGCTTCAGTAATTTATCTACATTCAGTTTAATCAAGACTGAATGCCAACCAATTTGGTGATTTAAGTACACATAATTTTTAAATTACATCTAAAATATCCTGTGTATTTACTTTTGGATATTCTGTTTGCTTTAAAAGACTTCTTGAGAATGAGAATTTTCACATGGCCTCTGTTAGTAAAGATAAATATAAATTATTCACTCTTTTCTCTTTCTATCCTTTTTGTTCAATATGTCCTTTTAACTGTGATCATTTTTCCTTGCCTTTTAAAAAACATTTACAACTGTGCTTTGAATATTATACAAATAATCTTAGAATTATTTGGAAGTTTTGAAATCATACCTGACCATCTATCTGCCCTACTCAGCAAGTATACTTTTTCTTTCAACTAAAACAGTTGTCCTGGTTTTGGGAAAGTACCTTTTCTCTATAATAGCATTTTTTTAACTTTCTCAGTAAATCTTTCAGGGTTTATTTGGTTTGTATACTTTAACCAAGCACATAACCTTTTTTGGTCCTATAACATATTATTTTTGGTTTCCAAAAGGATTATGTCAAGTCCCTATAATTTTCAATGTATTAAGTAGTATAATAACTATTCCATTCAGGATTTTACATACGACTTCCATTTTATTTTTTTATAATAATTTATTTTTTATTGGTGTTCAATTTGCCAACATACAGAATAACACCCAATGCTCATCCCATCAAGTGCTCACCTCAGTGCCCATCACCCAGTCACCCCCACCCCTCGCCCACCTCCCCTTCCACCACCCCTAGTTCGTTTCCCAGAGTTAGGAGTCTTTCATGTTCTTTCTCCCTTTCTGATATTTCCCACTCATTTTTTCTCCTTTCCCCTTTATTCCCTTTCACTATTTTTTATATTCCCCAAATGAATGAGACCATATAATGTTTGTCCTTCTCTGATTGACTTATTTCACTCAGCATAGCCTCCTGTTCCATCCACGTCGAAGCAAATGATGGGTATTTGTCATTTCTAATGGCTGAGTAATAGTCCATTGTATACATAAACCACATCTTCTTTATCCATTCTACTGCACCATTAAGGGTAAGTTTTTTTTTTTTCATTTTATTCTTATAGCAAAGCACTGAATGTATCATGCTCTAATTGTTTTATTTACTATTATATAAGATTTTATTTTTTAATTTAAATTCAATTAGCCAACAATTATATAAGATTTTACATTAAAGGGACACATTTTCCATCTTCAAGTCAATTCCTTATAATACCATGTTGAACTTTATATTGTTAGATGAATATTAAGAAGTTACAGGCAAAATTTACTGCATTTATTATCAAGTCATAGTAGAAACTGAGATTCCTGAGCTGTATTTTCACAAAAAAGATGGGAGTTCCAACAACTTGCATGAATCATATTGGAAGTTAGGAAACTTCAAAAAGCATATAATACTCGAGAAATATTTTTCAGATTATCAATCCATTTGGCTGTTGTCTACTGACTAGAAGTAACATCTCTAATACTTTTTATTAAAAAGAGTGATTTATCTTACCTAAGTCACAGATCTACATCCTTAAGAATTTTATACATTATCTAAGTTACAGATATAGCAGTACCCCAAACAAAAGAATTATCATCACAAGTCATATTGAACTAAACAAAAATAAACATTGTTACATACCTGACAAATAGCAAATCCAAAACCACTTGCGGAAATATTAACTGCAGTTGGCTGTGCCACAGCAAGCTGAATAAAGATAGAAAAAAGGTGAACAAGGCTCCATATCTAGAACCTTCCAGATAGCACAAGAAATCAGTGTTATCCCTCGCTAGGAGTATAAGCCAACTGTGAAAAGCTCTAAGAATTGTACATGGCCTCACATGTCAGCTATAGGCCAACCAGGTAAGAGAGATGAAGGCAAAGGAAAGGCCCACTCTTCACTCACCCTCATCTCTACCCTTTGAAGAGGTGATAGGGCTGCCTGCCCTTCAATAGGTGCTGAAGCAAGAGATACAAGAAACAAAAATCATCTCACTCCTCCAATCTCCCTTGGTCAGCACCTAATCCTCTGGCCCTCCTGGAACACAGTGGTGCATGATCACTGTACTTTAGTTAACACAACTCCTTTTTCTTTCACCATCAACCCTCTTCCTCAGTTTCCAGCCTTGAAGTTATCACTTTCATCCATTATTCTCAGCTTCCCACCAGGTTAACCACAGGAATAAAGTTAGGGTCTATGATATGCCTTTATCCTATTTTAAAGTAAGAATCCTACTATTGATTCTATCAATCTCCTAAGAGGACATGCGGTACAGCTGGAAAGAATATGGTCAGAAATCATGGGTTCAAATCTTAGCTTTACTGTTAGTAGCAACATGATCTTGATTAAGTTACTTAACCTCTCTCAACCTGTTTTATCATGTGTATGGGAGGGACCAAAGTACTTACTTTCTTAGTGTTGGTTTGAGAAGCAAATGTAATAGCACATGTAAAGAAATCTGGCACAATGCCTGCAAAGAATAGGAACTCAGCAGGTGTTCATTCCTTTCCCAACATGATAGAGCCCATATTTTCTCCTTTTCAAAATCTTTCCAAAGTTCTTATCCCTTCCTTTCTTCCCCAGCTCAGCAAATTCAACCAAAGGAGTGCACTCCTTCCTCCCAGTCTCTTTACAGAGCTCTAGAGACAAGTTTTTGTTGAAGTCAATAGAATGGAAATAAAATAGCATTCCAACATAAGGAATCACCTGCATTTAATTTTAAATAACCACCCCCTTGTCCACACCTCTGCCGTCTGGAGGAGAAAGCGGTTCTTTGCGTCAATCCGAAACTTTACAGGACTTGGTGAACTGGGCCCCATCACAGTCACTTGGATGTTTGTCCTTTCTGTGTTCATTAGGGCTACAAATTCAGATAGGGCCTTCAAGGCTATGATAGTGTCCTATAGAGGAAAGAAAAGCATGTGTGCATATAAGTATACATCAAGGTCACCAAAGAGTAAAGGTAGCAATGTTTAGGACACCCACAATGCATTCGTTCACCTTCCTTGGGGGTGCAGCTCTCCTTTATTCATTTCTTAATGTCCTTGAACTACAGTACAGGAGAGGTTTGGAAGGTATCTACTGACTAAAACTGAATATCTAAAAAAAAAAAAAAAAAAAAAAAAGAAAGAAAGAAAAGAGAAAAAAAACTGAATATCTACTGTATTGGTTACCACATATGAAAGATGGCCCATATAGATGGGGAACTCATTTATTTTGTATACATATCACATATGTTTACATCTGTGATGAGAAAAAGATTAAAATTGGCAATTTAGACCTTTGACTTAAGGTACTAAATTTTTAAATTGCCAATTTTATGAAGTCATGAGAAAAGCAACCACTTACTTCTTTTAAAAACATACATATATGTTTAAACTATTATTTAGTTTAAAAAAGGAAAACCTACCATCACTCACCTGAGTAGATGCAAAACCTCCCAAACTATTTCTTTGCCTGCTTAGCCACCTCATAATAGGGATTCCCTCAGAAACCCGATACTGCATGAAGTGTGAAAGCAGTGCATAGGCTGCAACTTCAATATCCAGGGAACGTGGCTGCCAGGATTCAGAAAGTTTAGACTCTGATGACACCCAGAATTGCATGCCTCCTGCAGGAGACAAGTAATAATAGTCTGATGAATGGAGCAAAAATTACATTTTATACCATTAAATATTCCTACACAGGTCCAAGTTCTACCTGACTGGCATAAATATATACATATATAGAGAGACATATGTCTATATATTTATGCCATGCAAATATATGGGTATTCACAAACACAGACACACATGTTGTAAACATGTACGTCTAGGTCACTTTCTAAACTATTACAACTTGGAAATTTTCATCTTTTTCCTCATTTTGAGGATGTTTTGATAAAAATAATTTCCCAAGAGAAATTCCACATGTTTGGCTTGAGACTAAACAGCTATAAATAAAAGAGAAACATACTATACTCCAGAAGATAATGTACATAACTTTTCTGACTAGGCCATCCCAAGAAATATTTTAGGACACATTAGAAAGAACCCTGTTCTGGGAATCTGCCATTAGCCAGCTCTAATATTCCCAGAAACCTCTCCTTTTTTTCATTATCTGAAATTTGGTGTTATAAGTTCAAAATCCAAGTTCCCAAGAAAAAAATGAAGGACCTTTAGCCAATTCAACAATCTTCCTAGAGATATTCCTACTACCCTCAGAGGAACCTCTTACTTGGCGCCCCCTCCCCCATCTCAAATATTACTCTTTAGATGATGATCACACTCAGGTGGAATGTGAAATAACTACCACTTAGACAAGCAGAGAAGAAATGTCAAGACCTACAGTCTCCATGCAACAATCTAGTCCCCAGCACTGCAACAGGCACTAAAGATAATAAGAATTCAATCTAAGTTACTGTTAACAATAATGCAATATTTTTTATAGTCTTCAAAATCTCGAAGCACTTTCAACAATTATCCCTTCTTGAATTAACAGGGCTTCGAACTGGTGAACATTACCTAAAGTTACTTCTCCCCACTCATCCCCATATCTGTCTGTCTGTCTCTCTCTCTCACACACACACACACACCCCCCTACCTGGATCCCTGAGGCCATTTGGGAAGTAGCAACACCTGTACTTTTAATCCTGTTGTAGCCCATTAAAAAAAAAAAAAAGTCATCCAACTCACTAACAGCATTTTCTGGCATTTGCATTTCTATTAATTAGCATTTTGCTGGGTATTATTCACATTTTATAGTCAGGAAAACTGAACTTCATAAAAGTAGCATAACTAGAATTTGAACCCAAGTCTCTCCACAACCCAATGTCCTAAAATAACCACTCAAAGCCACCAAACCAGAAATGGAACCAGATAACTCAAAAGGTAACTGACATATAGGACATATCTAAAAGAAGGAAATACCCAGGCCCTGAAATTCTTTATAAAATGCAAGGAGAACAAAAGCAGCCATGTCAGACCTCTCTGACTCATCTGTATTTCATTTACCATCCCATTTAGAAGAGGTAAATGAAAAAAAAAAAAAGAAGAAGAAGAAGAAGAAGAAGAAGAAAGAGGTAAATGTTGTCATCTTCATACCTGGCTTACAAAACTTTCTCACATAACTCATATATTTCATAATGCATAGCAGTCTAATAATCTCAAATGACCCCATGCATTACCTTCTTGTTCTGCTCTCCAAGTCAGCATATTCAACGCTTCCTTGGCTTTAGGGCTCCCCACGGATGACAGTGCATATGTTATAAGAGCTAGAGTATAATTGTCTGAAATTCCTCTATTAAATGCAGACTCCAAAAAGTTGATAGATTCTTGCACATCAATATTAGGCTTGGAAAAAAAAACATATATTTTACTATTCAAAGTAACCCATTACCACACATTTAAACAAAAAGCATTTTCAAACATTCATTCAAAAAATAATTTCAGTGTCTGTTTAAGCACCTGACTTCGTCCTAGGCAATGGGAATCAATGATGATCACAGACATTTTAAGATTTGCTATTCATTTTAAAAATAACACTGCTTTGAAAGAGAAATAAAAGAATCATATCTATTTACAAATGCACCAAAAATAAGAAAATACCTAGGAATAAACCCAACCAAAGAGATGAAGGACTTATACTCTAAAACCTACAAAACGCTGACAAAAGAAATTGAAGCAACACAAAGAAGCAGAAAGACATTCCATACTCATGGATTGAAAGAACAAATATTGTTAAAATGTCTATACTTCCCAAAGCAATCCACACATTTAGTGGAATCTCTATTAAAATATCACCAGCATTTTTCACAAAGCTAAAAAACAATCCTAAAATATGTATGGAAGCACAAAAGATCCCAAATAGCCAAGGCAATCTTGAAAGACAAAAGCACAGCTAGAGGCATCACAATTCCAGACTTCTAGTTATATTACAAAACTGTAGTCATCAAAACAGTATAGTAAGGGACAAAAATAGACACATACATCAACAGAATGGAATACATATCTCAGAAATGAACCAACAACTATGAGTCAGTTAATCTTCAACAAAGCAGTAAAGAATATCCAATGAGAAAAAGACTATCTCTTCAACAAATGGCATTGGGAAAACTGGACAGCTACATGCAAAAGAATGAAACTGGACCACTTTCTTACACCACACACAAAAATAAATTCAAAATTGATTAAAGACCTAAATGTGACACCTGAAGCCATAAAAATACTAGAAGAAAATATAGTAGCCTCTTTGACATCAGCCAGAGCAACTTCTTTCTAGATAGGTTTCCTGAGACAAGGGAAACAAAAAAAAATATAAACTACTGGGACTACATCAAAATAAAAAGCTTCTTCTGTATGCCAAGGAAACAATCAACAAAACTAAAAGACAACCAACAAAATGGGAGAAGATATTTTCAAGTGACATATCTGATAAAGGATTAGTATCCAAAATATATAAAGAACTGATATAATTCAACACCCAAAAAACAAATAATCCCATTAAAAATGGGCAGAAGAGGGGAACCTGGCTGGCTTGGTCATGGAACATAAACTCCTGGATGGCTCAGTTGACTGAGCATCCAGCTCTTGATTCCAGCCCGGGTCATGATTTTGGCATAGGGTTCTGTGCTCAGTGGGGATTCTGCTTGAGGATTCTCTCCCTTTCCCTATTCCTCTCCTTGCTTGCATACTCTCACTCAAATAAATAAATAAATCTTTAAAAACAATAGGCAGAAGATACTGCTCCAAAGAAGACATTCAGATGGCCAATAAACATTTGAAAAAGTGATCATCACTAATCATCAAGGAAAGCAAATCAAAACTACAATGAGATATCACCTCACACCTGGCTAAAATCAACAACACAAGAAATAACAGGTGTTGGTGAGGATGTGAAGAAAGGAGAACTCTCTTGTACTGTCGGTGGGAATGCAAACTGATACAGTCACTCTGGAAAACAGCATAGATGTTCCTCAGAATATTAAAAATAGAGCTACCCTGTAATCCAACAATTGCACTAAGAATACAAAAATATTAATTCAAAAGGATACATGCACTCTGATGTTTATAGATGCATTGTCTACAATAGCCTAGATATGGAAGCAGCCCAAGTGTCCATCAACCGATGAATGGATAAAGAAGATGTATATGTGTGCATGTGTACAAAATGTAATACTACCCAGCCATAAAATAGAATGGAGTCTTGCCATTTACAATGACATGGATGGAGCTAGAAAATATAATGCTAAGTGAAGTAAGTTAGTCAGAGAAAGACAAATACCTATGATTTCACTCATATGTGGAATTTAAGAAATAAAACAAATGAATAAAGGGGAAAAAAGAGAGGCAAACCAAAAATCAGACTCTTCACTATAGAGAACAAACTGATGGTTACCAGAGGGGAGGAGGGAGAGAGATGGGTGAAACAGAGGATGGGGATTAAGACGTACACTTGTAATGAGCACTAGGTGCTGTATGGAAGTGCAGAATTACTATATTGTACACCTGAAACTAGTATTACACTGTATGTTAACTACCTGAAATTTAAGTAAATACAAAGAAAGAAAAGGAAAGATTCAAAAAAAAAAAAAAGAAAAAAGCACTACTTTTCAGTTTCTGAGTAAATAGGCACCATTCCCTAGAAGGAATAAGAAATAAAAAGAATTTTTGTCAGGGTTTCTACCATCGATTATCATGAACTCAGATGACAGCAAAAAATACAGCTTTTTTACTCATATCTGATCTGAGGTGTTGAAGCTCTACGCTCAGGGAAAAGGTACATTTCCATGTGCCTAGTACTGGACTAGCGAAATAGTATGAGTTTACTAGTAGGAGCTTACTATCAAGAATGGCTGTTTTCAATCATGTGAAATGCAGTTGCCATTAAACCAGTAAAGCCATCAATCACTGAGACAGTTCTGGAGCAAAATCAAACTTATTAGCATAACTTCCCATGCATACTCATTCTCATCCAGATGTCCATGCCCATTTAACATGATTTTTAGAGAGTGGGTATACTTTGCACTAAATTAGCAGATGTTGTAATTGCTCCAGGATATTTTAGAAACAAACAAAAATCCTTCACCACCTGAATGTGCTAGAATTCATTCCCAAATTCTGAAGAATTTTTAGTCCCCTAAGAAGTTAGCCTTTCCAATGATAAAATATGTATTAATTTATCTTACCAATAGCAAGTATAACAGCATTTATATTAGAAAGCATTCTTAGTTATTCTGAAAGAGTGGGTTCATATTTTCATTCTCAGATTTAAGAATATGGTCACAAATGCAAAGCAAAAAGATGCCCAAATTCAGATCTCCAATGTGATGTAAAATTGCAAAACTCTTTAAGTCTCCAGACACATTCTTGACCTATCAAGATCTACCTTCCTTGTTATTTTCCACCCATCACTTATTAAATTAAAGATTAAATACCTGATACTTTTTATATCCCAGGAGAGAAGTCACAATATAAGCTGTAAGCGTTACTGGACTTTTATTGCCACCTTGAAGCTCACTATGGATCACTCTTCCTGGCTCCCAAAATTCACCGTTGGATTTCTGACGTCCTTTGAGCCAAGTATATGTTCTGTGTAATACATTCTGATCAATATCTATGTAAGGATCAGCTTCAAGGAAACATCTTAACACAAAGGCTGACAACCTAGGTGAAAAAGTAGAAAAGTTGCATAAAATACACATTATAAGTCTTCTAAGTAACACTGAGCAAGAAAACAACAATAACAACATTTTTTCTCGACCACAAGATTCACAGAAGGATAATCCCTGAAGAAGGAACAAAGGGAAGAAAGGCAACAAAGAGACAACATAAACATCTCAGTCTTGCTGGTAGACACAGTTTCCACTTGAGCGTGGCCAAAAAATTCCAGGTCAACTCCCAAAATACCAGATTTGGGAAGACTTAGAAATCATCTAATCTCCTACACACACTATTTTATAGGTTGAGAATTCGACACTCTGGGAGAATTAAATTGTCCAAGGTTATCATCATTGGACTGTTCTAGGTATTTACTAAGGAATATCCCATTACATACTTTGCTCAGCCCTAAACCTACGGATGAAGTATATATAGTTCACAGTCAATCTGTAGTACTTTAAAAAAAAAAAATCTGTAGTACTTTTAACTAGAGAAAATGGATATTTTCTCTCCTATAGGACAGGAGTCAGAAAATTACAGCCTCTGAACCAAATCTGTCTGAGCCAAATCTGGTCCAATCCATCCCAGAGTCTATTTACATATGCCTCCCTTCTACCACCCTCCCCTTGAGAATGTTTTTTAAAAGAAGAAGGAAAGAGAAGGGGAAGGGAGGGGAGAAAAAACAACATGCAACGGAGACTCAATGTGGCCTGCAGTGCCTAACATATTTACTATCTGAGCCTTTACAGAAAGAATTTGCCAAAGCCTGCTACAGAACAATAAATATTTATGTGAAAAGATCATCAAGCAATAAAACACAGAAACCTTTCTATTTATGGATCTATATTCTGACACAGGCCAAAAGAAAATTTGAAGCAGATATGGCTCCCCCCTATGAAATGTTTAGGTGTGATAAATCTTAATATTCAGTAATATCTGATCCTCTTTTACTTTGGAATATGCAGAAAAATTCACTTCTTGGCCCTTTTGAAGTCAAGCACAGCCATGTGACCAGCTCTGATAATGATAAAGTCAGAAGTAATGTTGTACCCAGGCAAAAGTACCTAATGACCAGTGTTGGATACTCCAGCCTTCTGTTTCCAGGCTGGAGCAGACCTAGAGATTCCTTGGGGAGATGGTGGCAGCTGAGCAAAGACTATAGAGCCCCCTGCTGACCCACAGTGGAAATGCAGCACAAGCAAGAAAGAAGCTCTTGTTAATTAAGCTACTAAGATTTTAGGGGGTTGTTGTTATTACCATAGCATGCATGTCTAACCTGACTGTTACAGCTAATCAATCTTCTTCTGGGTGAAATGTAGAATTGTCAATAGTGCAAGGAGAGAAAATAATTATCCAAAATCAGCCACAGAGAGATTCCATTCTGGAGGAGATCTGGATTCTTATTACTTAATTCCATCACTGTTTTTCACAAAAAATAATCTTAAAGAAACTATGTTGACTATGTTAATACAAAATTTGTATTGATCATGTCCGATTAAGAAATGAACTATGTCGAGGTGCCTGGGTGGCTCAGTCGGTTAAACAACGGACTCCTGATCTCAAGATCATGAGATTGAGCCCCATCAATTCACATTAGGTATGGAGCCTGCTTAAGATTCACTTTCTCCCTCTCCCTCTGTTTCTCACTCTCCTCTCCTGCTCACGTGCTCCCTCTCTCTATCTCTAAAAACAAAACAAGGGATCCCTGAGTGGCGTAGCAGTTTGGCGCCTGCCTTTGGCCCAGGGCACGATCCTGGAGACCCAGGATCGAGTCCCACATCGGGCTCCCGGTGCATGGAGCCTGCTTCTCCCTCTGCCTATGTCTCTGCACCTCTCTCTCTCTCTCTCTCTGTGACTTTCATAAATAAATAAAAATTTAAAAAAAAATTAAAAAAACAAAAAAAAAATAAAATAAAATAAAAACAAATAAAAACAAAACTATGTCACAATCAATATCTCTAACCAGTTTTTCTTGTCAACTGCACCATCATCATAAAGTACTTTTATTACTTTTCGCACAAAAAAAGGATTTATGACTTATCTTTTCTCAATAAAAACATTTTACTTATTAATGTGTTAAAACTGTATGTAAAAAGGAAAATCTCTTTTAAAAGAGGAAAAGCAACCTACACTATACACTATAGGAACACATCTGTCCGTTTCATGGCCATTTTGACCTAATGAGAGCTCATACATGACAGACTTGTTCTGTTAGTAAAAACACTTACCAAGTGGGAGCCCTTGTGTAGCACAGTTGGATAAATGTCTAATGCTGGATGTCAGCTCAGGTCATGATCTCAGGATCTTGAGATCAAGCCTCCAGTCAGGCTCTGAGCTCAGTGAGGAGTCTGCTAGTTTCTCTTTCCTTCTCCCAATGCCCCTCCGTGCACTCACTCACACTCTCTCACTCAAATAAATAAATAAATATTTAAAAACAAACAAATGTACTTACCAAGTGCTCCCAGAGGGATCATCATTCCCAAAAGCACTGAAAGAGCCATCTTCCCTCTGATAGAGAAGTTCTCTCTGGTAACCTGAAGACATAAAAGCAGATAACGTAATCACAACTTGAAATGAATGAAAGTTTCTAATCATGACTTCATACTGAGGAAACATGAACAGAGAATGGAAAGGAAGATACCAAATCAACAACTAATATTAAATACTTTCTGTGTTAAGTGCTGTGAGAGATAAAATATCAAGACTTTTCAAGCAGAATTTGCAATATAAGAACTGTAATAGCTTCAAATTAAATTCAGAAGAATATTACAACAGAGACAACAATTCTAGCCAGTTAAAAGGAAGCAAACTAGTCCAACTCAATTTCAGCTGAGGTCATGATCTTAGAGTTGTAAGATGGAGCCCAGGTTGAGCTCCACACTCAGTGCAGAGTCTGCTTAAGAGTCTCTCTTCCTGGGATCCCTGGGTGGCGCAGCGGTTTAGCGTCTGCCTTTGGCCCAGGACGCGATCCTGGAGACCCGGGATCGAATCCCACGTCGGGCTCCCGGTGCACGGAGCCTGCTTCTCCCTCTGCCTGTGTCTCTGCCTCTCTCTCTGTGTGTGTGACTATCATAAATAAAATAAAAATTTAAAAAAAAAAAAGAGTCTCTCTTCCTGTGCCCCTCCCCCAAACACGCATGCAGTCTAAATAAATAAATAAATAAATAAAATCTTTAAAAGCAAGCAAACTAAAGGCCAAGATTTATTTAACTCTAATGTTAACTACAACAGTTTCCATGCTTAATCATCTAAAATTATTTGCTACCTAAGAAAAATACTATCTAAACTATCATAAATAAGGTTCAGGGCTAAAAGGAAAAGTAAAAATACTTCCTATTTTTAGGCCAACAACAGAAGGGGAAAATAGCTAAATAATCTAAGACAACTGCTTTAAAATATTTTGGCCATAGATCAACTGGCCTACCCACCACATCGACTCCATATTCTCACTAAAAAAAAAAAGAAAAAAGAACCCGGCAGTGGTAATGAAGTCTTACTATAGAAGTAAATTGAGAAGGGGGTTAAGGCTCATATAGCTGCTTTAATAAAAGCAGATGTTTCATATTCACAAATAAATGGTTGCAAATAAGACAGATGTTTCATATTCACAAAGCAATGCATGCAGTCTCAAAGACCAATGACCAAAAAAATCACAGGCCAAACACTAAAAGATTCACCAAACAACCCACAACAAACTAAGTTGCTAAAAATGAAAGTAAAATAGCAATAATTTATCATTAGAAAGCAAGCATAAGCAGGAGCCAAAAATATGTCTAACTCAAGGCATTATCAATGATTCTCTGATAACCAAGAACTCTTCCTGTAGGGATCCCTGGGTGGCGCAGTGGTTTGGCGCCTGCCTTTGGCCCAGGGCGTGATCCTGGAGACCCGGGATCGAATCCCACGTCGGGCTCCTGGTACATGGAGCCTGCTTCTCCCTCTGCCTGTGTCTCTGCCTCTCTCTCTCTCTCTCTCTCTCTATCATAAATAAATAAAAATTTAAAAAAAAAAGAACTCTTGCTGTAAATTACAGGACTCTACTATAGGCAGGTGACATCACACAGTATGAACTTTGCAGCATGGTCACATAGAGCCTGGAAACCATAAGCATTTATAAAATATTGAATTCAATCCCTAGTAAACTCTAGTAACAAAAAAAAGTTTAATCTATGAATACTACATTTTAGAAGCATCAATAACTATAAGTAATTATTCATATTTAACTAACATAACATGAGCATTAATGGTTTAAAATTACAGTTAATCTGCTCTTGCCATGTCCCAAACTTTCCTCCTTGAGCCCTTCCCCAGAAACCCCAGATCTGAGCATCTGATTTAAGCAATAAGACAAAGTAGGTAAAAAACAAGACTCTGTTTCATGGTGATCTTTAAGACCTATAGTAAAAGAAATATAAACAACATTTTGGTAATGTCAGAATTTCTCTTTAATTTAAAGAATGGGGCTAGAATCTTGATATTTGAAACTGAAATATTAAGGCATAATAATTAAATATCCGATCTTGATCCAACACTATGTCTCAGGAACTGTTCGAAGCCCTTTCAGGTATGAACTTAGGTAATTCTCACAACTCTATGATGTAGATGCTATTTAGAGACAGTATCTTCAGAGATGGGGACACTGGTACTCAGAGCACACCAAGTGCAAGGTCATGCAGCCGGAAGGTATTGAAGCCAGAAACTAGCCAAGGTCTATGTCCCCAAAGCTGCTGTTTCCTGCTAACTCACAGAGCTTTTTCAGTGATTAATGTATGAAAAGTCCTCAGCACTGCACCTATTTTATACGGCAAGCTCTCAATAAACAAGAAGTATCACTCCATACCAAGGACATAGGAAAAGGCTTTCTAACACCCAATTTTTTTAAAAAATATGTACTAAATAAGACCACAAAAAAATTCTTTAAACTTTTCCATGGCAAAACACACTACTGACAAAGTTAAAAGGTGATAAGTTAGAAGAATATATGTGCTACACACAGATAAGTGGCTAATGTCCCTAATATTAACATATAAATTATATAATAAATTATATATATCCTTATGTATTATTACTGCATACCTATACATATATAAAGTAGCTTTTAAGTACTTTTAAGTTTAAAGAAAAAGAGTAAAATCCTACAAAAAAGAAAATGGACAAAAGACAAGAACAATTTCACAAAAAAAGCAAAGAGAGATGGACTTCAATATGTGGGAAAATGTTCAACTTCATCATAAGTGCAATCCAAATTAAATACCATTTCTCTGAACTAGGGGTGGTGGAAGAGGAGGAGGGCGGGGGGTGGGGGTGAATGGGTGACGGGCACTGAGGGGGGCACTTGACGGGATGAGCACTGGGTATTATTCTGTATGTTGGCAAATTGAACACCAATAAAAAATAAATTATTATTAATAAATAAATAAATAAATACCATTTCTCACCCATCCTATTAGCAAAGATTCAAAAGTCTGGCCACTCATTCTGTTGGGAAGGCTGTAAGGAAACCAATACCTTGTTCACTGCTACAGGGAACTCAGAATGGTACAACTGCTATAGGGGAGTGTTACACCTTTTGACCCAATAATCCCTCTTCTTAGATTATACCCTTAAGATATACCTTCAACAATACAAAAAATACGTATGCAAAAAATTATTCATTGCATTATTTGTAATTGCAAAAATACTGGAACTACCTAAATGCCTCCTAACTGGAGATTGCTTAAGTAAACTCAAACTGTAGTACATACACACAGTAGAGTCTATGCAATTGTGAAAAAAGATGAGAAATAGCTCTCTGAACTCATACAGGTTGATTTCCTGGATGCACAGTTAAGTGGAAAAGTATAGTACGCTACTTTTTGTGTAAGAAAAAGAGGAAATAAGAAAATATATATGCATATGTTAATTTCTGCAGAAAGAGAGAGAGAGAAAGAAACTAGAAACTAATGAAGTTACCCACAAGGGGCTGGGAGAAGGGATACAAGAGGGAGAGATACCCCTTTTAGAGTATGTTGGACTTTTGGAAGCATATTAATGTTCTACATATTCAAAAAAGAAAACAAACAAGAATAGGAAAAAAAAATGATAGGCATTATTAACACTAGTTCACTCCACCCTGTTTTAGTTTTCCAAACCTTGAAAAAAACACAGCATATAATCTCTTCCTTTTTCAGAGGCAGTAAGGGTTCACAGAAAAGCAGAAAAACTTTCTAGTGTTTACAAAGGAAATTAGCAAAAGAATCCAAGACATTATTCAATTTCCAATTCAGGACTAAATCCACCAGATAGCAGAGTTTAACTGTGAACTCAATCTGACAGAGGAAGGAAAGAGAGAGGAAGGCAAGAGAGAGAGGAGAGGAGGAGAGGGGACACTAGGGCTGGAGAGGAGAGGAAAAAGAAGAAAAGAAAGCTTTCAGGACCCACCATCACTACAGGAAACATCTCTGTGAGAAGGACCAGCTTCTAAAGAGAGGACCATGTGCCTCCAAGCCCCTAAGTCACGTCAACAACTGCAGTTCCAAGTATGAGTTATTGTAAAACCAGAGAGATGAGATCATGCAGATGAGATCAGTGCTTATGGAAATTACCCCTCAGGTGGCTGACCTCCAGCAGTCCCCATTTTAATATCAACAACTCCTCTACAGTGCAGCCAGCCCAGAGGAGGGGGAGGACTCGAAGACAATCTCCAATTGCAGAGTGCATTTCTTGAGCTGGCTTAGATGACACTGAGACTCCAAACCTCCAGCTCTGCTCCCATAGCAGAACAAAGGAAAGAATCAGAACCTAGAGAGAGGAACTAATATGACTCTTCTAGTAGGAATATCCTGTGAAGTTTCCTTCCTCACCTTAAATCAGCCATGCATCCTTAGAGAATCCTCAACTGCTTCTCTTGCAAATCAACCATGCCACAAGCAGTGAAGGACATTGTTGACTCAGCTGTGATGTTCACTATTAATACAATTCAACATTCAAGCATAGTCACCTCAGTTGGAGACTTTTCGTAATAGATGAAAAAGGCAAAAATATGGTTTTCTCCAAAAGCTTATGAGGAAATAAGAGAATTGCCCCAAGGTCATAGTTTCAAGAATAGCTCCTGAGTTTGAAAGCAATAGTAAATAGGAATTAACAGACACTTCTTTATATTAGAATACAGAAGAAGTCAAGAGGGTGATAGGATAATGACCATGAACTATTGTTTATAAAGGGTCAGATAAGCTACACACTTACTGGGTTATGAATTTTCTTTGGAATAGCCATAAATGTAAAATATTTACAATTTATCATAATAAAGATGAAAATACTGTTCACAGAAATATATAGAAAAAAGATAATTTCACTTGGTATACCTCAAGTATCAAAATTACATATAAATAAAAGAAGTAAAATCAGCTCATTGTGACTCTGTCACTCACTTCCTCTGGTAAAAAGCTGATAAAAATATTTTCTGTGCTAAGAGAAAAGTAATCATCATCAATGTCCTTACTCTGTATGATATGGAATATGGGAAATAAGAACTTCCCTGGGTTTTTAGGTTTTCAGCAATTTCACTATTGCCTGTAGCCATTCTTGCAAGGACCAGAGCAGCATCAGAATTCTAAGACCTATTTTTCCTGTTTTTTATTTCAATGGAAAAAATATATATAATGTATTCAACTAGGTTTGGTCCAAGTCTCATTTGAAAAATGGAGCCCCGGGTTCCATTTTTAAATATTTGAGGAAAACAAGTGATTTAAATCTCTAATTAACAGGATTTCCAGTCCTTACCCAAAACAGTTTTCAATTTACGATTCTATTTTTCTTTTTGACAGCAAAAGAGACTTCATTCAATGATGTAGCTGTTGTTTTGACCAAAAAAACAATGGGTTAGGTTACAAGGCTCCTGGGCCAAGCATGATTTAAGTAAAACAATGCGCTGTTCATAAATGACATTTAAATAATATAATCATGACTCATGCCAAAGCCACTTTAATTTCTTAAAAAATAAAAACAACTACAGTATATTTAGAGGACTTTGGCAAATGTGATGGCAAGAGAAAAAACAAAGTCTCTGAAATGAGACACTGATTTCATAATGAAAATCATTATACCAAGAAGCTATTGTCCACGACTTTGAAATACAATTCAGTTCAGCATGTGAAATGATGTATTTGGGGAAGCTCCATTGTGTCGGTTGCCATCAATCACTTCACCAGCTCAAAAGGTGAGCTGAAGCCACTGGCTCCATTTCTTAGCTTATAAGAACATGCCAAGGCCAGGTAAACCTTTAATGTTTGGAAACAATTGCTGCATTGTGGAAGTACTTAAGAGATGCTGTGGGCCCAATCTCTGCATTAGGATAAGGAACCTAAGGCCCAAAGAAATTAATATTGACAGTAATTCATTCATCCAGTCTGTATTTATGGTGGTGCTTATGTAGTGATACAATAGTGCAAAGATTAAACACAGTCCCCACTGTCATGGAGTTGACACTCTATGCAGGAGACACACAGATAATAGGCAAAAGAGATCATTTTAAATAATGTTGAGTGTGGTGAAGAAAATTAAATGAAGTTATATAAATGAGAGCTCCTAAATGCGAAGGGAAGGCCACTCCAAGGGAAACACTACCTAAATGATGAGAAGGAGCCAGCCATGGGAGGATTCCAGGAGAAGGAAGAGCAAGCTTAAAGCCCTGAAGCACCATGAAGCAGGGAGGGCTCCAGATGGAGCCGAGGGGTTGCCAAGATGGGGCAGCCTCAGATTCACCACCAGAAAACCCATTAGAGAATTTTAAGCAAGGAAGTGATGTGACTTTAACATTTTCAAAAGATCCCTTTTATTATATGTGGAACCTGTATTGAAGGACATAAAAGCAAAGAGATCTTCTAAAAGGAAGATACTGGCATTGTCCAGGTGAGCACTGATGCTGTCTGAGTGGAAGGATTTGCCGTGGGATGGAGAGAGCGGAAGAACTTCACATTTGGTTTTTAGGCAGCTGGACAGGGTTTATTTGCTGACTATGAACCCTAACTCCCCAGTTAGATGCAACCAACTGTATACTACAGCTAACAATTATTGGGCACTGATTATGTTAAAGTGCTAAAATATCTTATTTAATCTTCAAAACAGCCCCCATGAAGTGGGTACTTTATTATCCCTATCTTACAGGTGGGAAAACATGGCTCGGGAAAACCAGCGTAGGCGGCAGGATTCCGAGCCCTGGTGTGACAGCCTCCACAGCTGGCGCCGTAACCAGTGGACCCTCCTGTCCCCAAGGTGGTGCTTGCCTCCTTCACAGCAGTAGCGTTGTTTATGGCTATGGTACCTTGGAAAACTACGTGGCCTTTAGAGAATGATGTTTTCTCTGCCCTGTGGCCCTCTGCACCTTCTAACAACCAGCAAGTGTGAGGAAGGGAGAAGCATCAAGGAAAAGCAGCCACCCAAAGGGTGGCTTTGAAATAACTGCAGGTTGGCCCTCTTAACCTGGCTGGGGCTGGCCTGAGGGACCAGCACTCCTTTCGGAAATCCAACAGATACCAAGGATTTGGGGCGTTCATTTTTTAGGACCTCTGCTAACCCAGAGCAAGGTATCTAAAGCACAACTGAAATTATCTTTAAGGGATGATTTTATCATTTTATCATTCCTTAAATGGTTCAAACTATAAAACTGATGCTCTTTTTTTAAAGCATTAATATTTGACTAGCTAACATCACCATCCATAAAGCATATAAAATGTGGAATTATGTGGCATTTTCAACAATATTTTACCTTATTTTATTAAATTATCCCAAAGAATGTGTATCAGACTATAAATCAACAGTCTAGTCCCTATGTACCTACTTCTACATGAAGCCAGTCACACTGCATTCTGAATATAAGACAGAATTTTGTTTACAAAAGGTACAGCATTAAATTATGACAATCCCAAATACTTTTCCATCTCCTTAAATATGTGTTATGGCACATAACCATTATGGCATGGTTATAAACATAACCATTATGGTAACCATTATGGCAATGTGTAAAATCTCATTTTTCTGTTTACTGCGGCACACACTGTACCACAGACAGCACTTGGTACCACGTCTTAAACCTAATTATAATAGAATTTGAAAAAAAGCAGCTCTTGTATTTACATGTTTAAATATGACTGATTCACAAATATATGTATGAAGGAGGATGATTTTAAATGGGCAGCTCTGTATGGAAAGTACCAATTGCTAAATCTTCAAGAATTTCCTGAAGACCTAACCACATCCCTATGGGCCTGGCTCTAATCTGAGTGGAAAATACACCACTATCTCCTTCATCACAGTAGTACTCAGTTCACACCCAACTCTGATTCCAAGCCCTGGTCTCCCTGTTTGTCCTCTCATGCAGCACATGGTTTCTGACTCACAACCCCCTTCCTCCCTCTCAGCCCTGGCCTGTACCAGCCTACTCCAGGGGGGAGTTTTGGATACCAACCAGCTCATCCTCCTGGATCTCACATCTTATAGCTTACTCTGGTCTAACCGGACACTGCAGATTCTAACCTTTGCTGTCTCCTTCCCTATAGGAGCCTAAGTAATGTCCTTACTATTGTATCAGAAGCCTCCTGAGACCTCTTGCACATTAGCCACACTCAAACATCTTGGCCAATTCCTAGACCTTTTCCATCCAAGCTTATGGTTTTTAAAAACCTAAAAATGTTGCCAAGTAAACTTATCCCATATCGATCTGAGGAAGAACACATATTCCAACACCATATCACCTGGAAATAATCATAGGTAAGTTATATACCCTCTCTGTGCCTCAGTTTCCTCACCTGTAAAATGGAAATAATATCAGTATGTATACCTCCTAGGGTTTTTGTAAGAATTAAATGAAAACATAGGGCACCTTGGTGGCACAATCCATTAAGCATCCAACTCTTGCAGCTCAGGTCATAATCCCAGAGTCATGAGACAGAGCCTCACATCCAGCTCTGTGGTCAATGCAGAGTCTGCTTAAGATTCTACCTCCCTTTCCCTCTGCCCCTTTCCCCATCCTTACACATGCCAGAGCGTGCACATGCATATTCTTTCTCTCTCTCTCTCTCTCTCTCTCACTCTCTCTCTCTCTCTTTCTCTCTCTGTCAAACAAATAAGTAATCTTAAGGTAAAAAAAAGAATTAAATGAAAACATTTGTAAAGCTTTTAACAGGGTTGGTTATTACCATTATTACATAAAATTTAGTTTAGGATAAATAAGTTCCTACATAATGAGGGAACCTGGAAGAAAAGCTCACATCAAAATATGTCTTTAAGCTTTCTAATTCATAACTGTGGAGAAGTTAGTAAAATCACTAACAGCTTGCCTCTATTTGCATTTAACCCATTCCTTCCAAAAAACAAAAACAAAACACTTAGGAGTTGGGATTTTTAGATTACACTGAACAAGGATTTTTTTAGCATTTTGCATAAACCATTCTAATCCTCATAAATTTGATGGGCAGCAGGTAGCCCAAATTATGTAGACAAATAAACTCAACCACACAGAGATTTTGCTAGAAGTCCCCTAACATGGAAACGCAAAACCTAGATCATAATTTTGGGTAGTTGGCTTCTGGAGTATTTGAGGAAATCAAATATACATTATTGTTATTAGTAGTAGTAGTAGTAGTAGAAACATTTTTGTTTTTGTCTAAGGATGGACATTAAGTGCATGGACTCTGGGGCCAGGCAGTGAGTTCAAATCCCAGCTCTACTACTCACTTGCTAATAAGTTAATTAACTTTTCTGTGTCTCAGTTTCCTTTTCTGTAAAAACAGGAGAACAATACTAACACTGTGCGCATTAAATGAGACATTAATTACAAAGTGTTTAAAACACTGCCTGGCACATATAAGTGCTCAGCTAATAGTAACTGTTGCTATTTGCAAGTTGCAGACACAAAGCATCTGGTATCCATGAACAATATCTGCCTCTCAAGAACTCAGGGGACAGTAATCACGAGTCTGACATCTAAGAGACAAGCAGGGCCTCCTCATATAAACTATGCCCTCCTAACTCCCACCTACCTGACATTTTAAACGCACTGAGAATGTGCCTGCCCCATGGCACCACATGTGTGTATGTACAGACTGTCTTCACTGAACAAAGAATTCCTTGAGAAGAAAGGCCCTGACCTCCTGTTTCCTCAGTGGCAGAGCTGACACTGGTACCAGCAGATACTCCATAAATGTGTGATGAATAAATGAACACTCAGTCCTCTAGATTTTTAAGTAGCTTTAAATTTCAGGTCCCTAATTAAAATACAAACCCTTCTAGACACTAATTCCTTAACGTGTTAGCAGCAATTAGTGACAATTAGCTGCAGGAAGAATGGTGACAGTTTCCCACTGCTTCTAGCACATTTCAACACCATCTAGTTCTACAATCACACAGCAAAGACAAATCAGTCTATACTGAAATACAGTCTAGAGTGGATTCTGCCTAAAAAAAAGAAATAAAGAAATTTACAAATAAAAGTACATTTCTAAAATGCTTACCTTGCCTCATAAATGAAAGGGCTTTTTCTTTTAAGTTTTCTGTCAGTTGTCTCTTTTTAGTTAGGTAATCCAAAACATAAATATTCGGAGCAAAATTTATCATGTTCTGTTCACCACAGCCATAAGGCATCCGAATCAATGAGGCTAAGCCATTGATGGAAGAACCAAGGATATCTCCTGAAAGCACAAAATATTCAATACATTCAGCAAATGCTCAGTAATTGTAGCTCCTGGTGGCAAAGAAACTTCTGCTGAGTACAGAAGGCATGTGACACTGAAGCAAACCTGGAACAAGGTACAGACTTTATATCAAGCTTTTAGGGAGGTCAAGTAACTGATTACACAGTGGCACCAAACTTGTAGATTATGTGACAAATCAGACTTCTAGTTCAGTTAAAGATGTGGCATATGTCAGGCAAAAAAGAAGTTTAAAAAATAATTCTTGAACAAAAATATCAGGAACTGACCATCAGGAAACCATCATTTTTATATAAGAAAGAAATGTTTTATTAGTAGTATTCTTCACATAACTAGAACTTCACTCTGATTTCTTACTAACACACTACAAACACTTGAGAAATTATTTAAGAGTAAAGATTATAATATTTTTCGATGTGTTCTCTTTAATAAAAACAAAGTAGAATTAACATGTAAACGTATTTCAATGAATCTCAGAATCAAAACAGATAAGGGATATTCTTCAAAGTTAGTAATATAAAATTAACAAAATGCCTGCTTGAAAGACACTTCTACCTACATTCTAACACCATGACTTAGGGAAATAAGTAAATAATTTAGAAATACAGAGGCTGAGTTCCAATTCTTACCCCACTGTGAGGGGTATCTGGATGGCTCAGTCAGTTAAATGTCTGCCTTTGGCTCAAGTCATGATCCTGAGCTCCTGGGATCAAGCCTCACATCAGGTACCCCCTCCCCTGCTCAGCAGTAAGCTTGCTTCTCCCTCTCCCTCTGCCTGATGCTCCCTGTTTGTGCTCTCTTCCTGTCAAATAAATAAATAAAATCTTAAAAAAAAAATTCCGACTCCACTGTGGCTAAGTTGTATGGAGAACACTCTTCCATCTAGTTTATTTTAGAAACTTACCCATTTCAAGTCCAAAAACTTAGTGATAACCTAATCCTTAAAAAAAGAATCTAAAAAGACAGGAAGACCTCTTTTAAATGAATAGGCTGCAGCCATTGCTGGCATATGATGTCTTAAACTTAAGATGTTAACACAAAAAAATTAATAGAGGTTATACTGTTATCATTCATGTTTTTATGGTTTTTAACATTCAAAGTGAACATAAACTTATAGTCTCAAAATTCAAAGAAGCGAACTAATATTCACACTAAAATTCTGGGCTACCGAATAGATTTTTTTAAAAATAAATAACCATATAAAAATACAACTTGAAAAATCATTCTTTGCATCAAGCTTAAAAATCAAACCTCATTAGTATTTCAATACTAAAGATAGACTCATTCCAATGTAAAGAATGGTGGTATGCATTTGAAACTGAAAGTATCTTCCCTTTGTGTGTATGTGTATGCACACACTTATGTGTGTGTGCATGTGTACTGCATCCCCCCATGTGTGTGCTGCACCTCCCCACATCCCAACACTATGGGAGAATTTATTCCCCTAGGTAGAGAGCTTGTTTAATTCTTCTTATGAATTATGCCTAAGATTCTCAAAAAGTACTCTATAAGGGATTAGATGGTTGAGCTATAATGGAAAGTATTAGATCAGATGGGATGTAAAAGAACCTCTGGAAAAAGTGCCTTAGGTCCTGACATCTTGAAGACCTAACAAACTATTTAGATTCATTAATCTTCATTAATCTAAACATTTCCTTCAGTTATTTGTGAAGTGCAACCAGATAAATAGTTTATGTGGAAGCTATGTTTAACAGCTGATGTAATAATACTTTCAGGTTGCCAGAAGGTGACCAGGAGAGGGTGAAATCAGTAGGTTGTTTGCATCCTGCTGTAAAGGTTATCTGCCTCCTGCACAGAGAACAGCTCTAGGCAATAGTGCTCAACTTCTAGTTAGAAGCACTTGTGAAACCTTTTCAAAATATACATAGCCCGTGAAATTCTGATTGTGTGGGTTGAAAGTAGAGCTTGCGTTTTTACAAAACTCCATAAAAGATTCTGATATGTACCAGTGGCTGAAAGTCACAGAAGCCAGAAGCTCCACTCTTAGAAATAATCCCACCCTCCAGCCACATTATGGTGGGTGCTACTACCCAAACAGTGGTCTATACACCAGAAGCATCAGCATCAAGTGGGAGCTGGTTAGAAATGCATAATCTAAAGCCCCACCCCAAGCCTAATAAACCAACATCTTCCTTTAAACAAGATCCCTGCATGATTCATATGTACACTGCGATTAAGAACTGGTCTAGGACACATATCTGCTCGTCTTTCTATTGTACTCAGCAGCTGGTATCAACTAAAAACTTTTGCAACCTCTTTTCATTATGATTAAATTAAAAACACACCTAAACATAGATAAAATATGTACATTATATTGTCATATACAAATTAACCAGTAGTGATGGTGATAAGACTGTATTCTTACCAATTGCAGTGATCTGAACTCGTTCACTACCACTCACTGTGTTGGGAGGAAATGAGAAACTCAAAGTTTTCAGGGGAGTTTGTAACTTGTTGTCAGTTAAGTCTAACAAGATGGATTGTGAATACGATTTTTCTATTCCTTCAGCCTGTTGGAAAAAAGTAACACAATTAACATCATCTTCACTCATCTGTTTAGAGAACTTTATATAAATAAGATAAACGTCTTGCCTGTTGTATCTGCAGTATGTGTACAATTGAAAAAATACCTATTGTTTTTGATTCCTGCTCCAAATCTGTTACTAAACGCTTACTTTCTAGTTAAAGTAGACAAAACATTTCATGAAATGGTAATTGGAATGGCAAAGGATAAGATGAAAAGGTGATGAGAAAAACCCTCTGAAGTAAATCCTATTATTATCCAAAGAGAGATTATACACCTTGTTCTAAATCACATTTGGCAGAGCTGGGATTTGAACCTAGGGCTGTCACATCGGAACACAAGTGCTTATCTACTAGGCTGAGTTGTCTTTTTCTGCATAATATCTTCTCCAAAATAAATCTACAAAATATCTTCCAATTATATTGAGGAATTTCAAAATTCAAAATCTACATATCCACTTGGCATGATTTACTAGGACCCCAGTGTAATACAGTTTGTAAATGCAATTGATTCCAAAAGAGATTCACTATACAGGCATACCATAAAGTTAAAGAGAATATTGGCAATTATCTCCAAAACATAATATAGATCTTTGCATACAGATGAGAAAACAATTAGACAATACCAAGTGGGTAGAGATGACCTACTAGATCTTGCCAACAAATTTAACCAAGAGAAAAACCATCTTCTCTTTCCTTTTCAATTATGTATTTCCATTTCACTTACTCAAGACTTCAAATACTTACCTTTACTAAAATCTTCTGGGTGACAGCATCAGAAGCAGTAGGTGAAATGGCTGTGACTGTGATAGGTATTTCCCCCAGATATGTTGGCCTGATTGGGAAAAGAACAGTTGCCCCATCCTCACTGGGAACCAGAATGGTCTGCTGGTGTCCTGTGGCATTTATTTCATTTGAAGCCATTAGAATATCAAATTTGTCGCTTTTCTCAATGATTACTTCAACCTGGAAGGAAAATTATCAAAATTTTTCTATAATAAATGCTCCTCAGAAAAGTGTTGCTTTATCCCCACGTTAAATGCTATTAAATCCATGGGGCTCAAGACTAAGGAGGATGAGACAGAGATTCAGCCAAGGATAGGATGAGAGGGTCATCAGGAAAATCTTCATTTCTCTATGCTCTCCTCCATCTCCAGATATGTGGGAACAGGGCTCTGCAGTTCCACTTATTTTTTTAAATGTATTTATTTATTTATTTATTTATTTATTTATTTTATATATAGAGAGAGCACAAGCAGGGAGAAGGGGGAGCAGACAGAGGGAGAAGCAGGCTCCCTGCTGAGCAGGGAGCCCAAAGCAGGGCTCGATCCCAGGACCCTGGGATCATGACCTGAACCAAAGGCAGATGCTTTAACCAACTGAGCCACTCAGGCACCCCAGCAGTTCCATTTCTAACATTAAATGCCCATTAACATTAAGTTCTGTCATTATGCAAAGCCTTTGAGTGGGAAGGACATGCCCAGAAAGGTTATTTCATGTCATGGTATTGCCACCAGCCTGGTTTAACTGAGTCATCCTAGGACACTGGTCCCGTTAATAAATACCTAAGACAAACAAGATGAAGTGTTATTACATCCTTCGAGAGTCTCTGCTAAATTATTCCAAGGAAAGAATGACACAGAGATGAGTACTGAAGCATATATTGGTTGTAAACTTTTGTAAAGTATGCCAAAGCTGCCAATCTTATCAAGAATGGCATTTATGGGATGCCTGGGTGGCTCGGCATTGAGCGCCTGCCTTCAGCTCAGGGCATGATCCTGGAGTCCTGGGGTCAAGTCCCACATCAGGCTCCCTGCATGGAGCCTGCTTCCCTCTCTGCCAGTGTCTCTGCCTCTCTCTCTCTCTCTGTGTGTGTGTGTCTCTCATGAGTAAATAAAAAAGATCTTAAAAAAAAAAAAAAACAGCATTTACCCAAGCCTTATACTTTATGAGTTGTTTTCCATTTCCATTTCTCATCTGTTTATCAAAATATTTTCTCTAGGAATAATAATTATTAGTCCTATTTTACAGAGGAGGAAACTACTATTAACTTATTTGCTGGTAAGTTATAGAGCAGGACATTGAATCCAGGCCTTCTGATTCCAGATCTTTTGCTCTTTACAATGTATAATTGTTGACTAAGTTAAAAAGTACAATTCAGGGGCACCTGAGTGGATCAGTTTGTTAAGTGTCTGCCTTCAGCTCAGGTCATGATCCAGAGTACTGGGATCGAGCCCCCATTGGGCTCCCCACTCAGCTGGGAGTCTGCTTCTCTCTCTCCCTCTGCCCTCCCCCCAACTCCTGCTCTCTCTTTCTCAAATAAAAAAAATAAAATCTTTTTAAAAAAATTTAAGTACAATTTTAAAATACAATTTATAAAACATAGTATTTAAAGAGATTGTGGAATTTTTATAAAATGAAATTAATTACATACCCCTACTTACTCTAAGGGGAGAAAAAAATCAGTCACTTGGTTAGTACTACAATGGGCACAACACAAACAGTGGCCAAATAGGCCTGCCTTCCAGAGAACTGACTAACTAAAGGAAACATAAGACACATGACTCAAAAAACAAAGCCTTGTTTTGAATACACTGTATTCAAAATAGAGTACACTATATAAACATGGAAACAAGGCATAACAGAATGGGTGAGGAAGGGCATCCTAGTTTCGAGCCAGGTCTTGAAAAAAGTAAGTTCTTGCCAACTGCAAGGAGCACGAAATGGCAGTGAGAAGCAGCAACGTCTTCTAGATGCAGGGAAGGCTAGGAAAGGGTACAGGGAAGCAGGAAAGATAATGACCTGCCTCAGATATAGTGAGGAAATTATGCAGCTAATGTGGAAAACCTGTGCTGGAAATTAAACAAAATGTACAGACACACGCTAATACTATCCTTAGACATGAATAAGTAGAAGAAATCACTGACAAAGTATATTTATTTCCAGCCTCTCAGAAATGTATAAAATGCTTAGATTCCCAGATACCCAAACATTAACAATCCAATCCCTGTGTGTTTTCTCCATTTTTTTCCTGAAGTGTGAATTAACAAAACATTTAATATATTACCTCAGTGGCATCTTTCAAATAATTGAATATGGTTACTTCCAAAGCAAACTCTTCACCTCTGATAATAGAGTAGGGAAGATTCAAAAAAATGAAAAATGGTTGGAAGGCTTGTAGCTGGAAAAGACAAACAAATATATATTTTATTCAAATCAAAATGCTTCACATTCATGCAATTAAAAGCAAATCTCACAAAACCTGTGAAGCTTGTAATTCCACATAGAAATGTCCACTTGCCTACCAACAAAAAACAAACAGCAACTTATCCCAAATCAATGATGATAAATTGACATGATGCTATTTAATAGAGTAATTACTACACTTTATAAATGCCTACTAGGACCCAGGGACTTTATTTTTTTATCATTTTATTTTATTTTCATCATGATAAGTATACTCTTTAACCCCCCTCTTTAATCTCCTCTCTGGTCACCATCTGTTTGTTCATAGTTCAATCTGTTTCTCAGTTACCTCTTTTTTTCCTTTGTTCATTTGTTTTGTTTCTTACATTCCACAAATAAGATCATATCGTATTTGTCTTTCTCTGACTGACTTATTTGACTTAGCATTATACTCTCTAGCTCTATCCATGTTGTTGCAAATGGCAAGCTTTCATGCTTTTTATGGCTAATATTCCATCATATATTTATAACACATCTCCTTTATCCATTCATCTATCTGTGGACACTTGGGCTGCTTCTATAATTTGACTGTTGTAAATAATGCTGCAATAAACAGGTGGTGCATGTATCCCTTTGAATTCGTGTTTTTGTTTTTTAAGAGGTAAATACCCAGCAGTGTGATTCCTAGATCATGGAGTGGTTTTATTTTTAGTCTTTTGAGGAACCTCCATGTTGTTTTCCAGAGTGGCTACACCACTTTGTATTCCTACCAACAGTACAAGGGGTTCTTTTTTCTCCACATCCTCGCCAACACCTGTTGTGTCTTGTGTTGTTTTTTAACTATTCTGACAGGTGAGAGATGATATCTCATTGCACCTTTGATTTGCATTTCCCTGATAATCAGTGATGTTGAGCATCTTTTCATGTATCTGTTGGCCATCTGTATGTCTTCTGGGGAGAAATGTCTGTTCATGTCTTCCGTCCATTTTAATCAGATTATTTGGTTTGGGAGTATTGAGTTTATCAGTTCTTTATATATTTTGGATACTAATCCTTTATCATATATGTCATTTGCAAATATCTTCTCCCATTCATTAGGTTGCCTTTTAGTTTTGTTTTTTCCTTCACTGTCCAGAAATTTTTACTTTGATGTAGTCCCAATAGTTTATAGGTACTTTACACAAATTATTTCATTTAATCCTTACAACTTTTATGAGGCAGGATCTATGCTCATATTTTACAGAAAAGAAATCAGAAGCTCAGAGATCTCTGTAGCTAGTACAAGATTACATCACTAGTGAATGAAGGAGCCAGAAATGGATCCTAGCATGTCTGATGCCAAAGCCCAGCTCCTCACCTACTATACTATAATGACTCCACCAATCTGCTTTAAAAGCCACTGGCCAAGTCAAACAGCTCTTGTTTTAGACTCATGGAGAAAGTCTAACTGATGTTCTGCTTACTACCTTCTAACATATATAGGCACATGTACTTTCTCCCTGGTGACCCAATTCTGATATTGTTGGCCAAATCCTACAGCAGCAGCTAAACCCCTACCCTGCCTCTGAAAATAAATCTTGATTAGTTTAGGCCAATGGTTGTCACTGGCAGCAGTAGCTCCCTCTAGAGGTTTACTCAGACATTTGTGGAAGTGTCTTAGAATGTTACAATGATTGAAAGGTACGATAGACACATAGTGGGTGAAAGTCTGAAATGCTCAGGACCGTCCCAATGAAGAATTGTCCCACATCTCTCATGATTAAATGCCTCTTCAGACATTCACATAAAGTACTTACTTATGATGACCTGAACTTACAACCTAATTTGAACTTATATATAAACCCAAAGCATTTTTCCACACACACTGAATTTTTCATAAATACAACTATTTTGTAAATCAACAGAAGAGTGCATATTTTTGTGTTTGTAACATTATCAAAAGTGGTTCATGGTCTCAAAGACTGACATCACTACAAGCAGTATCAGTCAAGGTTTTTGAGTTGCTAAAACAACACATGTATATCAAACTCCACTTACAGCTGTTACACAATGGGTGATTTGATGCATGGAGTAAATATTTAAAGATTTATGCCTTCTAATGTGGCTATGTCTGATCACTTATACACTATAATATATATTATTTTATTACACCTTACTTTTATTTCTCCTTCATATTTCACTTAAGGCATCATATTCATTTTTTTAAATTAAGTATACAGATATACTGTATTTTCTATGATTTTCATTCCAGATGGTAAAGGGGAAAACAAAATATCTGTTATAAAGAGAATGCTTCAGATATGACAGAGTAAGGGCTACTGGTCTAAGACCAAACATGGTCATTACATTCCTCGTGCCAGCAACTAGTTTGGAAAGTAACATGTGATGCAATTTGACCAAAAATATGAAGGAATGCCTGCTAGAAATACATCTTGAGAAGTTCTGTCCTTTCTTTTCAGAGGGAATACACAGAAACTCTCTCTCTTCTGGCCTTTGGAAATAGCTAGATTCATTCAATAATAAAGTTTTTAATCCAAATCTTAATATGGATGTAGCACATTTAGGAGTTTAGCACAGCTCACATTCTGAAGTATAAAACCAATGAAAAACAAAAGAAAAAGCTGACAAATCTCTAAACATCAACATCATAAGAATCATTTTTGAAAATCCATTGAAGAGTTGACACTTTCTTTGCTTTGGACACTAACATTTACAAGAAAGTCTTTAATATACTACCTCCACTGGAGTACTTGTTAATCCAAGACCTAAGTCCTCAGAGATCACGAAAGCAGTAGCTACCCAAGAAGTGATAGAATCAGGCACAGTAACTTCAAATTCTTGGTATATCCTAGAACTGAAGTCAAGATAAAAACAAAAATCACAACACCATGAATTGACATGTATCCAAAAAAGTCAACATAATCTAAATCATTTTTAGAAGAGTTTTAATTTTCCAAATTGTTTGGAGATCTAAATTTTTTTAAAGTAAGCATGAAACAGTAGATCTCAAATTCTCAAGGAACAGGTCATTTAATAAGGCCATCACACTGCATTCTGACCCATATTGCATTGAAAGCTTTCTGCAGTGTTTATACCTCCAGAATGACAATTATTTTTATAAATGTTGTATATAGAAAATAAATATCTATTTTCAAATTTAATGTAATTTATTTCTGTAAATTTGCATAAAACTTTCTCTCTTTATCCTAGTCAATGCTATTTTTTTTGAGGTTTGACTTGTGTCTTATTTCAAGTTTCCATAAATGGCTGACTATAAAATATGTGAAGGTTTCATGATTCATCTGCTCAGTCATCAGGCCAGATAGCACAGGGTTTGTCAACTAAGCTAAATCCTTCTATCACCTGTGCTCTTCTTCCTGTGGCTCATGGAGAGGTTTTACAAGGGGCCACAAGGTCAAGGGAGTAATTATGAGTGCTTCCCACTCCAAGGCAATAAGTGTACTCTCAGTAATTTTCTCTAACAAGAACCATGAAACTTCAAAGAAGTTAAAAACACCCTTCACTAGAAGGAGTCCAGCTTCTCCTTAATGACACTCTCACTGCCCCAATTTGCATGTGGCTTTACTAAATACTAAATTTAAATACAATAAATATCATTCTAAAATAAAAACTTCTTCATCTATTTAGTTGTTAATCACAATATTTGTACTTAAACATTAGAAAGAACAAAAAATTTATTTAAAACTAACACTAGACAAAGTATGTATGAGCAAAGAACATTACAAATCTTTACCCCATCTTGGTGTCCAGCCAAATCCAAGTCTCTGGAAAATGCTTTCTGACATGTGGATTGCTAACCGAAGAGAAGTCATGAAAATCTACCAAGTATCCTTCATTTTCCTCTACAAACCTCTCAGCAAATTCTACACTGTCATCTAAAAATCAACATTGATAATTGTTAGGGAAAAAAGTCACTGTAGAGGATGATTATAAACTTAGTTCACAGAATCACAACACCTCTTAGCTAAATGGGACGTCAGAGTTCATCTTATCCAACCTTCTCATTTTACAGATGAGATACCTGATTCTCATAGAAGTCAAGTGACTTACCCAAGGCTTTGAGGCCAGTTACAGAAGCACCAAAACTAAAAAACGAGAAAAAAAAAAAAAAAAAAAAAAAACAACCTTCCCTGCCTGTACAACTACTACCTGAAAAACTACTTATAGTGCAGTTGCTAAAAAACAGTTAATCACATTTTTAAAGCTCCCTCCAATTTTGTTCTCTTTTCAGTTCCCTAGTGATCATTACCATTGGCTATACCAGCCATAAGATACTACAATCAACCAGTTTACTAGCTTAAAAAAAGTCGTTGCGATACTGACTGACACACTTCCAAAAGTGTCAACGTTAACCTAAACCATTTTTGGAAAAGTCTTAATTTTCCAAATTGTTTACATATCTACATTTTTTTAAAGTAAGCATGAAACAGTAAATCCCAAATTCTCAAGGAACAGGTCATCTAATAAAGCCATAACACTGCATCCTAACCCATATTCCACTAAAAGCTTTCTTTCTATTTCTATCACCCACTTCTATTTTTTCAACTTTTCTATAAGTCTAAAATTATTTCAAAATAAAATGCAAAACAGGGGTGTCTGGATGGCTCAGTGTGTTAAGCATCTGCCTTTGGCTCAGGTCATGATGTCAGGGTCCTGGGATCGAGCCCCACATTGGGCTCCCAGCTCAGGGGGAGTCTGCTTCTCCCTCTTCCTCTACCCTCTCTCCCCACTCCACCCCCACCCCACTCATGTTCTCAATCTCTCTCCCTCAAATAAATAAAAAAAATATTTTTAAAATCAAAATAAAACAAAATAAAAAATAAAATAAAATGCAAAACAATATACTGTAGTAGGTACCACGGATACAAAGATGAATGTAGTGAGCTCTACTCATAGTCTATGGAGGAGACAAATAGAAAACTGTAGTAAACATGGTAAGAATTATAACAGGCATATATAAAATGCCTATTGTGCACAGAATGGCTGATTTTACCCAGAATCTGAATAATGAAAATAGTATGGCTAGGGGGAAAAATCCATTTTGCAGGAGTGTTGCTGTTTGTTTGCAAATTCCATTTTCTTTAAGTCTCTAGTTAGAGAGTATCCCATACAGGGGCGGGGTGAGGGGAGGGCAGAAAGCTAAGTACAAAGGCATGTCCAGAATATGACGTATTAGGTAAGAGTGCCATAAAATGAGAAAAAGAATGGCAAGGTCCAGATATTAAAATATCACATATGCCATCATGAAGGACTTAGAGTAATCATTTAATCAATTCTGACCCTCTGAAGGTTTTAAAATAAATTTGAAACATGATGTAGCCCATGTTTTATAACGGTAACTCTGGCATCACTGTGAGCAATGGTTTAGAGATAGGGGAAAATGAAGGCAGGCAAAAGTTAGTTAAGAGGCTCTTGCAATGATCAAGGAGACACTGTCAAGGGCCTGAAGCCAAGCAGAGGAGAGGAATGATAGTCTCAAGAGATGATTCTGCTCTGTCTCTTGGGTGGGTGACTTCTGTGTATTTCCCCTGGCATGCTGTACTTTTCCCACCCCAGGGCTCAGCACACACTTCTAATGATATGTTGTTCTGCCCCACTAGACCAAGCTGAAATCTCATTGCCTCATATATGCTAGGCATGCAATTAATATCATCACTATCTGTTAAAGAATGAATGAACAAACTGGACCTGATGAATAAGATAATAATAATAAGATAATAATAAGATAAGAAATAAGATAGGGATCCCTGGGTGGCGCAGCGGTTTAGCCCCTGCCTTTGGCCCAGGGTGCGATCCTGGAGACCCGGGATCGAATCCCACGTCGGGCTCCCGGTGCATGGAGCCTGCTTCTCCCTCTGCCTGTGTCTCTGCCTCTCTCTCTGTCTCTCTCTCTCTCTCTCTCTCCTCTCTGTGTCTCTCATGAATAAATAAATAAAATCGTTAAAAAGAATTTTTTTAATGTCGCTCCTTTTAACTAATTCCAAAATAATAGCAGAGTTTGTAATACAAATTAAAGCATAGGATCTTCCAATATGTCCAAAAATATAACCATCTCAAAGAACTACAGAGAGCAAATGGAAAGTATTCATTTCAAAAATCTAGATAGAAACCCAAACATTCCATGTCATGGCTCAGATGAACATTATACTCCAAAGATTTAGGATAAGAGAACAGAAAATGAAGATCATGATTACCATGTCCAACCAGAAAGTAACCATACCTATATACATAATTTTAAATACCTGAGATGAAAGACTTAAATACTTTAAAAACATATTGCCAGGTTTTACTTACAAACACCATCAATGTAATCCTTCAAAAGGTTTGCATCTGTCAATACCCAGAGGCCACATTCCTAGAAAAATAATTTTAATTTTCTTTAAAAATAAAACTTTAAGTGCTCTATAAAATGTCACAGCATAAAAAATTTAAAAAAAAAGTAAAAATAAAAATAAATAAAATAAATAAAATAAAATAAAATAAAATAAAATGTCACAGCAGTCTCCCATACTCCTAACTCACTCATGTTCATTTATTTTTATGCATATGTGAAAGTATTTTTTTTTTACCCTATCTCATTTTTGAGAATTTCTCCCTCTCATACACAGGACACACACACACTCTCTCTCACATGCACTTTTTCCATTTGCTTTCAAAATTGGAAGGATGATTATCTTTCCATTTCAAATTATATTTATATAACATGCTGCACTTCAACACATTTAACAAAATGCTACCATTTCATAATGGAGATAATTAATTCTGAAAGTGTTTGTAATAGTAAAAGATATTAATATCTTTTCAAATTATGTAACAAACTAAACATACCTGAAAAACTGCAAAAGAATTCATGAACATGCCTAAATAATATCCTGTGTTATATAGTTCCAACTCATGGACCACCTAAGGAGAAAATAAAATACATGGAATGAATTGATTCATATCAACCTGTTCTGCCCTCTGCAATATTTCTTGCATGTTACTTAGATATCATATAGCCCACAGCTTATCTAATTTGAAAATGACACAAATGGAGGAATAAATAATTTGTATGTGCATGCCTTGTACATGATTAAATCAGCTAAAAATACATTTCTTTTTTTAACTTATCTTTACTCTCTTCAGAATCAAGAGTTCCTAAGAAGCGCATGCTTGAGGGCGCCTGGGTGGTTCAGTCAGTTAAGCGCTCAACTCTTGGTTTCAGCTCAGGTTCATGATCTCATGGTCCTGGGACCAAGCCCTGTACCAGGCTCCACACTCAGTGGGGAGTCAGCTTGTGGATTCTCTCTTTCCCTCTCTTTCTGTCCCATCTCCCTACACACTCTCTCTCAAATAAATAAATAAGAGCACCTGGGCAGTTCAGTCAGTTAAGTGTCCGCCTTCGGCTCAGGTCATGATCTCAGAGTCCTAAGGATCAAGCCCTAGGTTGGGTTTCCTGCTCAGTGGGGAGTTGGCTTCTCCCTTACCCTCCCACCCCTCCCCCTGCTTGTGCATGCTCGCTCTCGCTCTCGCTCTCTGTCTCTGATAAATAAATTAAATCTTTTTTAAAATAAATAAATTAGGGCAGCCCAGGTGGTTCAGCAGTTTAGCGCCGCCTTCATCCCAGGGCTTGATCCTGGAGACCCGGGATCAAGTCCCATGTCAGGCTCCCTGCATGGAGCCTGCTTCTCCCTCTGCCTGTGTCTCTGCCTCTCTCTCTCTCTCTCTCTCTCTCTCTCTCTCTCTCTCTCCCTCTGTGTGTGTGTGTGTGTGTGTCGTGAATAAATAAAATATTTTTAAAAATTAAGTTAAATTAGTTAATTAAATAGTAAAAAAAAAAGGGGGGGTATGCTTGAGTTTTGCCCAAGAAGAACTTAAATGTCACCAGTTGACTAAACCAACACATAGGGATTAGCATTAAAAACAACCCACACTTTTGACAGATAAATGGGTTAAATCAGAAGGTTAATATAAGTTCTGCACAATATCAGTTAGAGTTTTAAAAATAACAAAAAGAAGTAATTCACAAAAAAGAAATCCAAATGATTAATAAGCATAAAAAATATTTAACCTCATTGACAAAGTAACACAAATTACATCAATGAGATAGCTTTTTCAATACTGAGATATTTGCATTATCACATTAGCAATGCTATTTTTTTTTTTAAGAACGGCACTCATTGCTAGCAAGAGAGAGTAAAATAGGCTAAAAGAGAGAGTAAAGTAGACAGCTCCTTTAAAAGCTAAACATAGACTAGCATATATGACCTGGCAATTCAATTCCCATGTATATAATGAAAATAACAGGGACTTAAAGAGATACATGCATGCTGTGCATCACTGTAGCATTAGCCACAATAGCCAAAAGATAGAAACAACTTAAACACCCTTCAACAGAAGACTGGATACACAAAATGAGGTAGATAAATACAATTGTATATTATGCAGCCATAAAAAGAAATGAAGTTCAGATACATCTACAACATGGATGAACCCTGAAAACCTTAAGCTAAGTGAAAGAAGGCAGAAACAGAAAGAAAAATTTTATATAATTTCACTTACATGAAATATCTAGACTAGGCAAATTCATAAAGACAGAAGTAGACTAGAGGTTTCTGGAGGGATGGGTTATCATTTCATGGTTACAGAGTCTCTAGAGTGATGAAAAGGTTTTGGAAACAGTGATGATGGCTGTACAACATTATGAAAGTAATTAATGACACTGAATTGTCTTTTTTTAAATGGTTAAAATGGCAAATTTTATGTTATATATATTTCACTACAATAAAAAAGTTAAGATATTATACCCTTTTTGGTAACTATTCCAATGCATCTCCCTGATTTACATTAGCATTAACCAGACAAATTAAAACAAAGGTGGGAATTAAAATGATGAAAGATTCTAAGTATAAGTTTAAAAAAAATACCTTGTTTAAAATTAAACACCTGCATCCACTGTTTCTGCCATGCTAACGACCACCATTGCTACCTCCATGGCAAGCAAACATGGTGCTAGAACAGGCACAAAGAAGAAAACAACAGAAGGAGAAAACAGGAAATGTCATAACATCCCAACAGGCTGGCAAATATAGTCAACCCAACTATAGGCAACAGAGCCAGAGCCAGACATAATGGAGAGAAAAAGTGTTGGACTCATGACTCAAACTCTGCTACAGGACACAAACACATGCAAGATCACCTGCTGACACTCCAGTGTGAATCAATAGAATTACCTAGGAAGAAGCATCTATCTTGAAAAGAAATTCTCCTCTTCCTTAGTGGCTCAATAAAAAGGCATTGCCAAAAGGGCAGCAAAGGCTGGTATCTGAAAATAATTTCTGGAAGATCTAGCACACTTAAATTTTCCCAAGGTGCTCAAGAATCTCTCAGCACCACTCACAAATTTAACAAGAACAAAAGAAACCAAAATAGTCTATCACTACTGGCTCCTAACTCCCTCCCCCAGAGCCAACTCTGGAGAAACAATGAAAGCAAGGAGGAAACTCAGATGAGTGGTATGAGAAAACTTGGGAAGAGTGAAGGATATCTTGAACTGGTGGGTTGGGAGGAAGCTGGTGACAGAAAGTGTCAGAGGCAGACAATCTAGGGAAAAAGTTTTTAAAGTCTGCTCTTGCTTCTTTCCAGGGGGTAGCCTCAGGAAAATCATTCCCTGCATTTTCACCGCCCTTATTAACTGCTACAGCAGCAGTCTACACTGCTTGTACAAGTGTCAGGAAGATAATACCAGGTCAGCACCTCTACCCTTCTGGTGTGAGAAACTGAGGCATTCACTCTTCCTCTTGTCCTCCAAACCCTTAGGGTTGTTGAATCATAATCTCAAGAGACTGCCTCTTCTTGGGGATGCTTTTCCCTAAGAGCTTAAAAGTGAAACACTGCATAAAAACTAGCAGTACACAGGGAGGAGCAAGAATAGTTCCCTGGTCCCTGGAGCTTGACCACTACCTCTCTTTAAATTCACAAGATTTACACAGATTGGAATAGGGTGTTCAACCTTCATCAACAGACATTATCAGAACAGCTGCCAAGTCAACTACATCCAAAGAGTATGACTTCCACAAAGACATCCAAGTAGACTATAAATAACATATGAAGAAAAATATTGAAAAAGCCAGCTCAATAATTAAAATAAACATGGTAAATATACATAAGGAGATAAGGAAAAATATTAACTATATAAAACAAAAACAAAAGATAAGAACCAAATGAAAATAATAAATATTAAAAATATAATAGCTGACATAAAGAACTCTATATAAATAATCAAAGTAGGATAGATACAACTGACAAATGATCAGTGAGCAAACACCTGAGGAGCATTCTCAAAGAAAAACAGAAAAGACAAAGAGACAGAGAACATAAAACAAAAAGCTAGGAGATATGGATAAAGGAAGTAGACGTGCCAATCTCTGAATAACAAGAGTCTCAGAAGAAGAGAAAAATTTAAATGGCAAAGAGGAAATATATGAAGAAATTACAGATGTAAATTTTCAGAATTAAAAAATGAAGGAAGAGAGATGCCTGGGTGGCTCAGCAGTTAAGCATCTGCCTTCGGCTCAGCACGTGATCCTAGAGCTCCAGGATCAAGTGCCACATCAGGCTCCCTACATGGAGCCTGCTTCTCCCTCTGCCTATGTCTCTGCCTCTCTCTCTGTGTGTGTGTCTCTCATGGATAAATAAATAAAATCTTTTTTAAAAAAGGAAGGAAGAACATAGATCAGAAGGGCAATCAATAATGACACAGAATTACAATCCTGTATGATAGCAACATGGTCTGGCCGGGGTTGGAGAAAAAGGTGGTAACAGGTGAAAGACAAAAGGGATGTGCAAGAAAATGAGAGCATACTAAAATGCTCATCTTGTTAGATGAAGATACAAATATTGATAGTCGTGAGAAATCGACAAGGATAAATAAATAGGAGTATGGTTTGTGAGTTAAGGGCATCTGTCATAGAAACAAAAGCAGAATGTATGACTTCTAAACCAGAAGAGCAAAATTTTATCTAACCCATGGAAAGAAGAAAAATAAAAAGAAGGGGAAAAAAGAAAGTAATCAATCACATTTTAAAATATCAAATAAAGTAGAAATAAGCCTTAATTAGAACAAGAATTACCAAACTTCTAAATGGGTTAAATAAGCTTATTAAAAATTATGGACTACCAGACATTAAAAAACAAAAGCAAGGGGAGCCTGGGTGGCTCAGTGGTATAAGCATTTGCCTTCAGCTCAGGTCATTATCTCAAGGTCCTGGGATAAAGCCCCACATCGGGTTTCCTTCTGGTGGGGATCCTGCTTCTACCTCCCCCCAGCTTGTGCACCCTCTCTCTGTCTCAAACAAATAAACAAAAATGTAAAAAAAAAAAAAAAAAAAGCAAAATATAGCAAGATAAACTTAAAGGAAAAACTTACAAAACTTTGAAAATAAAAAGGTGGAAAAATACATCAGCAAAGTATGAGCTAAAAGAAAGCTGGGATAGCAATCTTAATATAGGACAAAATTTAATGTAAATACATTAAAAGATAAACAAAATATGAGCACTAGACAGGGGTGTGTGTGTTCATAACTACAGAAACAAAAATGAAATAATATTTTTAAGAATTTAGAGACTGATAAAGTGAGAGATATTACTAAATTCAGTCAATTCAAATGCAAAATGCTATAGGCTTTTTAGAATTATGTAAATTTTTAAAAAGTCAAGAGAAAAAAATGACAAATTAGTTTTAAAGGAGTTTTTTTAAAAGGGGATTGAGAAAAAATTAGCTTTATAGGCTGAAAATTACATATAATTTTTCTCAAGTGAAGTAATTTACAACAAGATGACCAAATTAGCCTAAACATTTACATCTTTCTTCCTATATGTTGTTAATTGCTGTACTTAATTAATTGACATAGGTTATACAATCTAGATTTCAACTGCCAATGGCACACAAGGATATATCAAGAATTTACAAAATAAAAATGAAATGATTAACAAATAGGGGATTAGTTTATGTAACAGTAGATGTTCATATATTTCCTGATTTATAAGTTTTCTGCAATTTCAGTCCCTTAATATACTACAAATTCCTGATTCAATAAGACTGTAATTACATATAACCATTATGTATAACCAAAATAGAAAGTACTTCAAAATTATCTAAAGCTCTCTTTCATCCAGAAATATACAAGTCAACTAGTACTGCTGACACCTAGTACTTTCTCAAGAATCTTAAATTCAAATACAGTATGAAAATGAGGGAAAACTCTAGAGGGCATCTCTCATGTAAAACAGCAAAAACACTTCATCACATGAAGCCTCTTTCTAACATAACAACCAGAATCCAAATCCTTTTTATTTGGAAGCTTTACTGATAACTGACTTATACTTGAAGAGGAACTAATGAAATTTCCTTTTCTTTCAGATATTTGAAGTAATGCAATAAGGTTTCCTTTTTGCTCTCTTTTTTTAAAAGATTTTATTTATTTATTCATGAGACACAAAGAAAGAGAGGCAGAAACATAAGCAGAAGGAGAAGCTGGTTCCCTGTGGGGAGCCTGAGGCGGAACTTGATCCCAAGACTCCGGGATCACGACCTGAGCCAAAGGCAGATGCTCAACCACTGAACCACCAGGCGCTCCTCCTTCTTGCTCTTTTAATATGTATTTTTATAATGAAAAAATAGCCCAACTCACATTTTCCTTTTTTTTTATAAAGATTTATTTATTTATTCATTCAGAGAGAGCGAAGAGAGAGGCAGAGACACAGGCAGAGGGAGAAGCAGGCTCCATGCAGGAAGCCCGATATGGGACTCGATCCCGGATCTCCAGGATCACACCCCGGGCTGCAGGCAGCACTAAACCGCTGTGCCACCAGGGCTGCCCCCAACTCACATTTTCCATTGTAATATCATTTGAGACATTCATAAGATTAACGCTTTTGTCAACAGCTACAATCCCAATTGTCGAGTCTGGCTGTGTCACAGAGATCCTAAGAGAGACTTTCTCTGATGGTTCAGCATGAGCTTTACTCCAAAACAGCTTTATCTAAGAGAGAGAGAAAATGGGGTTGATTTGACTTTTTTAAGAGCATTACTTACATGTCTTACCAACAGCAGTTCAATTACTCAAAATTTAGCAAAGATTCTACATTTGCCTTGTCTCAGAAATTGTTCTAAAACCATACATAAACCTTCTATAGGGAAAGAAATGTAAAAAAAAAAACTTTATTCACGGTGTTTACAAGTCATAGAACCTCCCACAGTTCCTCCCACAGTTCACAGGCATAAATCTGATTTATCCTTCATTTCTCTGCCTTTCCTCTTCCCTTTCTTCATGCCCCAGTGCTTCAGAGAAGGCAGTAGTGTCTGGCACACCTGGAGAAGCACAGTATCCTGGAGGGGGAACAGGAAAGAGGAAGAAACCAGAGATCCTCACAGGCTAGTAACCTAAACTTTGAAGTGAGTCAAGTGAGAGCTCCCCTGGGGACTCACAGAACCACCTGGGCTGGGGACAGGGGTATGTCTGTCCAAGGGAGGTGGTGATCAGACCAAACACTTGGTAGACCCAATGTTCTGTGTCTCTATGGCCACCTGAACTTATCCGTCATTACATTCATCAAAGCGTGGTCCTAACCAGTGCTTCTTAAAGAGCCTCAATTGTGTTAACAGAGTGAAAGTGAATGGCTTTGTCATGAGGTCCCTTCCTATTAGGAATGTTCACTTTGTCTAGCTCTATTTCAACAGTCCACTGCCATAGTGGCTTAATCTTCCCCTCAGTTTGACTAAACCTCAGACAGACTTCCTCCTGACCAGAAGCCCCTTATTCTCCCTTTCCTTACAGCATTTACTTTAGAAAACTTGCAATGATAAATTCTTTCTCTGCCCCTTTGAAATATAAGTCTTCTTCCAGCTACTTGACAGTTTTCCAACTCAAGAACATCTTTCTCAAGGACCTGGGAGTCAATCCTTTGAAATGTAATCACCAAAAAGACAGAGTCCCTGATTGATCTTCTAGTCTCTGTGGAGGACAGGAGCCTAACTTATAGGTTGCCAGTCAGCAAACAGAGGTGGGTGGCCTAATCACATTGACCAATCTCCCCTCAACATCCTCCAGTACTTTTCCATAAGCTTATCCTCTGCTTAAAACTCTCCTGCCTTTTGCTTCAGTGATGTTGAGTTCAATCTCTCTCCCCCTACTGCAAGAGTCTTGTATAAAGATTTGCCAGTTTAACTTCTCTAATGAAATTTTTTTATACATATACCCCTTACTGTATCTAGTTTACTTACAGTTTAAGTTTCCCCACTCATACCCAAAAGAAAGGAGAGGAGAGCAACATGTTCCAACCTTGAACTTCTCACTCTTTACTCTGCACCTCCAAGACCCAATGGCTTCAAAATCTGCTTGCATGTGGATGATCGCTAAATTTCCATCTCTTGAGCCTTCCACATCCTATCCATTTATTCCACAGTCATTATTGAACATCAAAAAGACTAATTTTCTCCTGCTTAAATATATCCTCTTTTCAAATTTGTAGGTTCTTTGTGAGTAATGTAATAAAACATTATATAAAAAGTAAAGAAAGAGTGGTGCCTGGCTGGCTCAGTCAGTAGAACATGAAACTCTTTATCTCAGGGTTGTAAGTTCGAGCCCGATGTTGGGTGTAGAGATTATTTATAAAAAAAAAGTAGAGAAAGATATATCTTTGCAACTATACCTGAAACTATATTTATCTTTCATATCTAAGAAATTTCTTGGAATTATGCTATTTATACACTCTGCTTCTTCAAAGCCAATGACCTCTTATGCTGTAACTTTTTTAAAACTTGGTCTCACTTTCAAAGATGTACACCTCCATATTTAAGCCTGATTCCTACTTTAAAACTCATCTTTGTCAGGAGATTAATGGAATCACTAGAAGTCAAATTTTGTGCTCTAAAAATAACAGAATGTACCACTGTCTTTGAAAAGACTCTTCATAAAATGAAAAATAGAGGTTTGTATTCTATTTTAACAAAGTTAGTTAACCATTGTCAACAAAAGCCATGGATGACTACTTCAACCTCTCAGAATTTTAACAAATTAAGCAGACAGAAATGCTATCAGATGAATTGTACTCTGCAAATCAATACTTTTAAATAATGATTATTTTGCTTAAAATAAACTGAAAAGGCAGCAGCTTTCACTGAGAACAATGGCTCATTTTATAACATGTGAGATGATTCAATTCTACCTGGCACTCTTACAGCCAGGTTACTTTACAAAGTTGGTGTTCAAGGGGGTTTCCTATACATCTTAAACTATAAAAATCCCTGGTGCTTCTGGAGACCAAAGTCTACACAAATCTTCACATGCAAGGTAGCCAGGCTTACTGTAAATCTGTCCTGGGTTAGTTTCCAGACTGGTGAAATGGATAAACCAGATCTGGGCTCTACTTCCACCCATCTCTACTGATGGCTGCACTCCCTCCCATGCCCTTCATTTCACTCTCATGCCAATATCAGCACCACACAAATTCTATAATTGCCGCTGGAATTCCATGCCAGAGCAATACTGACTCCACCATTTGGGAGATCCTGAAACAACCTCATGGAATTGAGTTAAAGTCTTAAAGCCAAGAATCATAACTTACAAATAAGACCCACATTGCCCAATAATTCCACATGTGAAAATACCTATGTAGTAATAATATGAAGAGGTTTAACCATATTCTGGAAATGAATATAAATTTCTAACCAGTTTTGTTTAGTGATACTTCTCTAAAGAAATATTACATTTCTCAGACCTCATTAATATGAAGTTTTCTTCTGACATCATTACCTTAAGTCTTACCTTATTTTTAAAAACAAGCTGAACAGGAATTTTAAGAACATCATTTATAATTTCCCCATCATCTTCAATATAATACACAATAATACAGGCTTTTGGAGCCCAAGAATTTTCTGGTGTTAAAGAGAAGATTGTTGAATTTTGCTTGCCTACAGCCACCAACTGTCCCCTGGATACTACCTGAAAAGAAGAGTAGAAGACTTTCATTTTATGCCAAAGCTAATAAGAATCCCAACTACGGCTACAATCATCATAATTTCAACTATACACACAAATTGTTGACTTAAACCAACTTCAAAGCCTTTTTGAATGCAAGGAAACCTCCCTGTCCAAAACAGAGAGTATAAGCCAGGAAACAGAAAAGGTTAAGATAAAGAAATACTGATTGAGACAACAGTAGCTTCACAGTCATGAATCTATTTTTTGAGAGGAAGGAATACAGAGCACCACTGGAGAGTCAGATTAGCAAAATTTAAGCTATGGGCAGCAATTTTTATTTTTTTTGGTTTTTCTCATATTTTATAATTTTCTATAATAAACTGAGATGGATTATCTCACAGAAATTTAAATTTTAAACATAATGCAAGATTTAATTATCCATCTTAAGTTGGAAATGCAAATGTAACTGAAGGAAGAAAAAAAATTGATTGCAATATAAAAAGGGCAGCTTAAAGGATTTAAGACTGAATTTTTTAAATTAGTGAGTTTAGATATAAGGTAGTTATCATTTGAAATGATCCCATAGAAGATAATAAATTTAGATTCTATAAGGGATTACCATATAGCTTAACTCCTTCAATCGCTTGTTGCCACTAACCACCAACTCAAAAGGTGATCCCACCTTGGAAAAAAAAATCTTAATTAATAAACACATATTAATTGCAAAAGAGTACATTATATTGTAATTATAAGTTATTGTAAGCATTACCTTTATATTTTCATCTCTTGTCTTTAGCTGGATGTATGTTTTACTGGGAGACTTAAACATACCATGAACTGCCATGCTACTCACACTATTAAGAAAAAAGGCCTATAACAAAAAAAAGAAGGAAGCAAATAAATTTTCATCTTCAGTAACACTCTGAGAAAGGATACTATCTGTTGAATAATTTCTGAAAGGCAAATTCACTTTCACTTTTTTTCTTGCAGAAAAAATGTGCTCCTGAGACATTGGATTTTCACTGTATAGCTTATATTATATAAAAAAAAAGTGACAGCTTTAAAACACAGAAGAGGGTCTGTATCACCATAATCTAAGAAGAAAAAGCATAGTCCTAACTTATTTCATAAATTATAGTATCAGGAAACACCACAAGAAGAGAGAACAAAATAGAGTTTATTTACAACCAACCTATGTATCTACCAATAGTCAGAGTAAACCTCAAAGGACCAAACCTGTTGGAGGGCTAAGTAATGAAAAGAAAGGTAGCAGGAATGGCTGGGGTGTCTCAGATGAGCCACTCTGGGAAAGAACCCAGCAAAGGAGTATAGGTTTTAAAAAATATTTTCCCCTTTCATTTCAGCTTCTGCAAAATACACCTTTAAATGATTGAAAACCAACCTAGAGTGGGAATCTCAGGAGCTTCTTCACATCTTCAGAATACTACACTTCAGTGTGCTCTTCAAAATGAATTTACAAGGAAGCATTTGGTCTACCCATCAGCCACTGTTACTAAGTTACTTTTAACACTTTCCTCCATTTTTTAAAATATAAACACGTGTCTACTTCTTACGTCCTGTGCATTCTGACCTCTATCAGGATTAGTGCCTACCCCGAGATTACAATTTTAATAATGTTGTTGCGATAACATAATGATGAGAAACAGATGGTACCTTCAACTGTAGCTCACTGGAATCATCCAGGATTGGGAATTCAATCTTAAAGATTCCATTTTGGGGAACAGTATAATTTATGACCTGGACAGATTCTATTTCCTGCTTTCTACTGTCCCATCTGCTCCAGTACTCGGAAGAATTTTTCTGTGTCACTGTTATAACTACATTATTTCTTCTCTCTTCAAAAGTCAGTCGATTGCCATCAGCACGGGTTACCTTCACCTAATTGTCAAAATACAACATTTTAAAAACAGGTAACAAGAAAAGCAAAGGATTTAAGTTCAGATGAATCCAGTTCCCATCTGTGCTATTTCCATTAAACTGAACTCTGAAAAACTATTGGTATTACCCTGACTTCCAGATGAATCAGTCTCACACTAGGATTCTGACACCACTGACCATTTGCTTCTTGATATTATATGGCTTCTCTTGCTCCTATGGCTCCATAATCACCTTTTTTATTCCAAAGCCCTCATTCTGCATCCTCATAGTATCCTTTTTAGGTTCCCCCTTCCTCTCCCTAAATGTGGGAATTTGTCAAGGCCAAATTATCAGTTATCTGGGTTTCTCTTTTTCTCAAAGGTCTCAGCACTCCTACTAGTTTCCTCACCTTGCTATGGAGCTCATACTCAACACCCAATTTCTGTTTGCAGGAAACTTCTACTTATGTATCCTTCTCAAACCAAATTCAGTACATCTATAACTGAGCAACCATCTCGCCTCTCCCATTTTTGCTAACAGCACAATTCTGCCAGACTTCTCATCTCTCAGTTTCCCTTCCCTCTTCCCACCTCTCAAATCCAATACACACCAAGTCTTGTATTTCTCTCTTGCATCCTCTCCACTTGAATGTCCACCCCCCCTCAAGGTTCTTCGCCACCTCATGCCTGAGCTGCAGCCATCTTCCTGCACACACCCTGATCCATCTCCCTGGAATGCTGCTTTCACCAAAGCCCTCCCACATTCATAAGGCTCCTAGGCTTTTCACTACTTAAAGTACAAAGTTCAAAACCATGCATATACCATTTAGGATCCTCTAGACTCTGCACACTTTGCCTTCGGTTTACTCTTTCACCACTACCAGACAAACTTCCTGCTACAATTGGACTGATCCAGGAAATGCACCTGAATTTAACAAGCAGGGCTCTTGCCTTGTGTCTCAGCTCATCTTGCTCCCCATCTCCCACCCCCACAGCAAACACTTAAAACCCACTGATCTTGGCACCTGTGTGGCTCAATTGGTTAAGCATCTGACTCTTGGTTTCAGCTCAAGTCATGATCTCAGAGTCACAGGATTGAGAACCGAGTCAGGCTCACAGTCATTGTGGAGTCTGCTTGGGATTCTTTATTCCTTTCTCTCCCTCCACTCTGCTCTCTCTCTCTCTCTCTCTCTCTCTCTCTCTCTCAAATAAATAAAATCTTTGAAAAATAAAATAAAATATCCTACTCATCTTTTAACAAATAGCTTAAATCTTCCACTTCCATAAAGCAACCTTTAATGACCCTCTCATCACTATTCCAAAGCCAGCTCTTCCTCCCAGACTCTCACTGTTTCACTACTCACTTGGAAGCTATCATTTGCAGCCTCAAGGGTTTTGTTCTTACCTTCTCAAACTAAATTATATGATCATCGAAATCAGAAACTATCTAAAACTTCTCTTGATCCATTCAACAAGAAATGATACCCCCTTTCTTTAAACCAGAGGTCAGCAAACTATGGCAGGCAGTAAGGCCAAATTCAGTTTTCTTGTAAATACAGTTTTATTGGAACATAGCCACCCTCACTTGATTACAAAGTAGTTAAGGCTGCTTTCATGCTACAATGGCAACGTTGGATAATTGTCACAGAACCATATTCCTACGAAGCTAAAAATATTTACTATCTAGTCCTTTGCAGAAAAAGTTTGCCAACCCCTGGTTTAAATCACTACAGAAGTGTATGCATAACAGTAACCTTATCCTGCCTTAAGTCATACTTGTGTGTATATTTTCTTGTCACCATCACAAAAACTGTGAATCCAGGGTAGAGACTGGGTTCTTCTTAGCTCTGTAAGCCCTACCCAGCAACTTGCCTTGCATGTTGTCAAAATTCACTCCATAAGTGTTAACTCAAAAGAAAAAAAAGAGTAGATTTTTTGATAATTTTTTAATGCAATATCTTTGCTAGAACTAAAATTAGTCATTATGAAAATCAAACTGAATTGAAATTTTTTTACTAACATCTAATTCTTCCAAGTAAGTTATAAAAGCTCCAATGTAGCAATCTAAATCTAATTTAAATCATTAAATAAATTTTGAGGTAAATACTTTTGTTGGAGACTTTTTTTTTAAGAAAACTTAAAGTTTATTTGGGAACAATTCCATATACTTCATATATCTAAAGGGGAAAAGTAATCTATCCACTCTGGGCTTAATTTTTTTTGAAAGCACTGAAAATATTATCTGCTATTCTGTTTCATTAAACTAAACTTGCTGCTTTAGATCATTAATAAACATGCCAACTTACAGTGGCTGTGAAGTTGAGAGATGGCTTCAAGACAGTAGCATAATCAAAAAATTCAATGATGTAGTCATGTTGCTTGAAAAACACATTAGAACTTGCATTTCTTGAGATACCTGTTTTGGAAATCGCACCATTTAGAAGCCAAACGCAACAGCTTATTCACCAAATTTCTCTAAGCTACTTCCTCAAGGAATTAATGGGGCACGGAAGCCTCATTCCCACACTGGCTTGGTCATAAAGAGAACCATACAGTTCTACTGCATCTTCCATGGACCCCTTCTAAGCACCATTACTATTTCTAAGCACCATCCACAACATGGACACTGCAGATTAAAGCCTCTCACTGAATCATCTTTGGGTCTTTTGAGGTTTGGGGAAAGTCGTTGAGAACAACAGAAAGATCCCAGCAATTAACCTTTATGTTAATATTGAAAGAGAAAACTGTCCATGAGCAAACAAGAGCTCAGAAGATGTTAAATGATTAAAAAAAAAAAAAAAAAAAAAACAGAAAGTGGTTAGTCAGCTGCAAAGTGGTTAGTTAGGCCTTTTCCTGTAGTTTTCAGGTTGAAAAGAAAGCAGAAATGGAGAAAATTACAAATGCCTACCACATGTGGTTAAAGCACAGACTATCATAGAAAATAGGTATTTCTCCAAAACATTTGAAATTAAAATTAGGAAAGAAAAGAAGTGTCCCCTTTATAATGAAAACATTCTGCAGGTGACACTAATTAATAGTCATGACAATTTCAGAATTAAGTAACATCTTTAGAAAGGCTTCCAACGGAACGTACTCATTATAATAAGGAAGAAGAGAGAGCAGCACCATATAAATAGCTTTACCTTCACTTCAAAGTCTACAAACCTGTAAGTGATTCTGTCACTGTGGCTAAAATTTCTACTGGCCCAGGGGAAGACAGATACATGTGTTCAGAAAGACCTTCTGAAAAATCCATTACTTTTTTCATCTCTTCATCATTAAAAGAGAAGTTTGCAGATCCATTTATCTGTTTTGTTTAAGATAATTCAATTTTATTCTTCACTTTAGCAATTCAAATTTTAAAAATAAAATTCAAACTAAGTCACAAAAATATAATGGCTCTGGAGTACAAAATGGGTAGATTCCCATTTGTCCAATTCTAGAAAATTCTTGGTTTTCTTACACTCAATTATTTGTTAATTCAGTATGAAATCTTATTTCTAGTAAAAGTATACTTATAGTGTTTTCCGATTAGAAGTTATAAGATCTCTGTAAAAGTTACCTTAAAATTTTTTGTAATATTTCTCTTCATGCCCCAAAAGGATAAAGGTAAAAATGTAAGTGTTACATCTCCTTTCACTGGCTTCCCATATGTATACCTGAAAAACAATAAATGGGGTCTTTTTACATTTTTTACTTGATATTATCAACATAGCACATGAAAATATTACTTTCAAAAAAAGAAAATATTACTTTCAATAGCATACACTGGCAATCCAACTTAAAAGAATTATATTTTTAAAAATACTCTCACTGCAAATTTTTTAAACTAAGCATATCTAGGAATATCCTTAATAAATGGTGATTCTTAAAATTAAGTCTCCAAAATGAGAAGACTTTTAACTACAATACTTTAAAACAGTTCATAATACATACTTTACCTCTAACCATTTTAGAGATCCAGAGGAAAATCTGATCATAATTGCAAGTGCAGTTTCCTGTCCAAAGATATTTCAAGTTACAAAAATGTTTTATTCCTAGAAATCAAGACTGGCCCATTAACTGCATGCCAAGGACACTTTGTAGCTTTTGAGCATTTTTATTTTTTTCAAAGATTTTATTTATTTTAAAAAAAGATTTTATTTATTTATTCATGAAAGACACAGAGACATAGGCTGAGGGTGAAGTACGCTCCCCGTGGGGAGACCAATGTGGGACTCAATCCCAGGATCCCAGGATCACAACCTGAACTGAAGGCAGATGCTCAACCACTGAGCCACCTAGGTGCCCCTTTTGAACATTTTTAAATGGTAGTTAAAATTGTAATCACTAAGGCCTATTGTTGCATGTTCCAATATTAACCAGAAAAGTTTATTAGACCAAACACACCAGGGCACCAAATGTGCTCATAGCTTGGACTTGTGAAGAAAAATGTAAAAGAAGAGTATTTTTTATCCAAAGTACCAAAATTTATCTTCTTGAATCAAATCTCATCTCTACTGCTTTACATTCTATGTATTCATTTTATCCCTCTTCATTGATGGGAAAATTTCTTCATGTGAAAAAAGAGTGGCAATTTTGGTAAATCATTTTACTGCCAGAAAGCCTTTTTTAAATGTGTTTCCTGAGTTCCTTCCATCTCTTTTGTGTAATAAATACTCAGCCAAATGTGGAAGTCAATTTTGCTTTGCACTCTATAAATCTAACAGTAAACTCCTATTTCCTGAATCCATTAGTTGAACACAGAAACAGCCCCTCATCTGGATCAACTCAACTCAAAAGCCAATGATAAAATATAGCATGTTCCAAATTAAGGAGAATAAAACAAATACATTTTCAAATGCATTGCCTTCCAAAGGAAAACAGTAATGTTAGAGGAAACCCTGGTCATCAACTCCAGCACCAAATTTATTCATTCAAAAGAGAGTCCTCAAAACTTAACAGTTCTTGTATCTTGTTAAAGATTAAATAAACGCATTAGGATACCAGAACATTATATTTTAAAAGAGTTCTATCACATGATAGGACAGGGAGCTTGAAAATCCAGACATAATTTAAAGTATTCTCAGACACAAATATTTTTTATTTTGGTTTAAATGTGAAGCAGATTTAACTTTCTTTGCCTCAAGCTGATTATAATAATTATGAAACAAGGATACTGACAGTTATTGTCCTAAATAAATCTGGAAGCATTTTGAATAAACTAATGATTCAGAAAATTATAGTTTGACAACATTTTAAAAAGCAAATCAAATATATGCTAGGGTAGTATCATTAACAAAACAAAGATTTTTATTTAAACAGCCATAGCACAAAAGGTTTACAAAATGATACCTAAAAAGTTGAACCTATCAGCATAATTCATGTTTTTCCCACCTTTTTTCCATGTCATTTCCAAGGTACAAGTGTCTCAATTCATCAAATAATAAATACATTAAGTAAACTTTAGCTTAAAAAATATTTTTTCAATTTTACTATCTGCAGGGATGCATGGGTGGCTCAGCAGTTGAGCATCTGCCTTTGGCTTAGAGTGCAATCCTGGGGTTTGGGATCAATTCCCACGTTAGGCTCCTTGCAGGGAGCCTGCTTCTCCCTCTGCCTTTGTCTCTGCCTCTCTCTGTGTGTCTCTCATGAATAAATAAATAAAATCTTTTTTAAAAATAAAACATAAGTAAACAAGTTTTACTGTCTGCAGAATATATAGAAAGAACTAGATTGTGCTATGTTATTTTCTTACAATCCTCTAGAACTCTCCATAGTTAGTGGAAAACAGTCTATTATTTATTTTAATGAGGTGGGAATAGTGAGCAGATGTTCACATCAAAATAAACAAACAAACGCCAATTTTTATTCATCTCAGCTAAAGATTTCAAAACCAAAAAGAGACTGTTAACCTTCTCTGGGAAATTTCCAGCAATGCTCTTCACATTAACTATGCCTTGATAGATTATCACTTCATCATCATTTCCATCTTTTCTAGGTCACAGTATTTCTAGAATAGGTCTATGCCAATTTTTATAGACTGATAAAAGACTCTGCTGGTCAAAAAGATTTCCTTAATCTGTTGTGACGATGTAAAGTGTATTCTCAATGTGAATGTAAACAAGTCCCCCGCAATCACATAAGCCAATTCCTTGCAACAACCTCATAATTTACATCTCCTACAGGCTCTGCTTCTTCAGTGGAACCTTGATTGACACACATACTAAGGAAAATGATGCCAGTACAACATGCTGAATACTAAAGAAATACCAGGGGCCATAGTAATGGTCATGCTGTTCTCAGCCATTAGTATTTCAAAGAGGCTCTACAAATGAGAATCTGGGTGAAACTCCAAGGATTCTTTTTTTTTTTTTAAGATTTTATTTATTTATTCATGATAGACAGAGACAGAGAGAGAGAGAGAGGCAGAAACACAGGCAGAGGGAGAAGCAGGCTCCATGCCGGGAGCCCAACGTGGGACTCGATCCCAGGACTTCAGGACTGCGCCCTGGGCCAAAGGCAGACGCTAAACCGCTGAGCCACCCAGGGATCCCCATCAAGGATTCTTTTTATTATTATTATTTATTTAATCTAATTGGCCCTATTAAGCAATTCGTGACTCATTGGCAGCATCCCATCTAGCAAGTAAAGAGATGCTCCTGTAAGAGTTCTCACTGGGCTTGCAGAAAGGAGCGTGTCAGGGGATCCACACCCCCACACACAAAAGTTGTATAGAAAACTTTCTGGCAAGTGACCAGAGTTTAAGAATAACTGTTTTAACTGATTGTAGTGAATCCCTAACCCAGCCCTGAAAACCAAAAACAGAAGCAAAGAAGGTATCCACATTCTCCCTAATCCATAAGGTTTGTGTGGATTTGCACTCACTGTTTCATAAACTCTAGTCAAAGAACTCAAAATATAACCCAGACAGAATCTTTAGCCTTTAGCTAAGATCAAGGGGAGGATAATAATTATGCAAAATGAAGGCATCTGTGTGTTTTCTAAACTACAAATCCACCCACGGTACCCAAATTCATGTTGGAAGCCACCCCTTAGTTGAACACGGCAGAAAACTAAGTTGGTATATAAATTGTAGACACATTTTTGCCTTTGTGTTGTAGGATTTTCACATGGGTTTTTTTTTTTTTTTTTTTGCCAAATAAAATGTGAACCAGGAGTCCTCAGAACATCTCGCCTGTGGGGTGCTTCCATGAGGAGACTCATTGCCCATCACTTGTCATTGCCACAAACCCTCACCAAGAGAGGGATACGGTGATGAGAAAGCAGTGACAGGGAGTCCAGTGTTTATCAGCTATTACAAATAAATTCTGAAACTAAATAAATTTCAGAAAGCAAAGCACAACTATTCACGCATCAAAAATGAAAAATACATAAGATTAGTACCAGAATAACTCCAGCCTACATTTTTGAGAACTGCTAGTCTAGGACTCTCAGGATGCTTTTTACCACAGCAAAATGAAATGCTATGCTGTCCGAGCCAATGGCTCAAAATCATGAGAGCCATGATACCTCTACCATACAGATGTGTTGGAATCTCTCTGTGTACATCTGCTGAAATAATGAGGGTTATGAACTACTCACTCATTTGCTAATTGCCATAAGATAACCAAATTCCTCCCCCAAGATTCAACCTCCATTACTGCCAGAAAAAAAATTAAGATTGAAGAAAAGGTAAGTACCCTTGATCCATGTCAGCTGAATAAGGAATAAAGATATGACTTTTTTTTAAAATCTGGAACAATCTATAATGTAAATCCCCTGGCTAGTCTCAGAAAGATACTTGTCTGTGGGAAATATTTCAGGACTCGATCAGCTTGGAAGCAGGCAGATGGGTGCAAAGAACTTTATAGATATGTCCATGCTTAATTATTTATTACAGATACTTGTTTTCTGCCCATTGGGATATTTTAATAAGCAGAACATGGTGCTAATATTCTGGAGTATATAGTGAGCTCTTTGTCAATTTTATAACAGTACATAGCCATAAAAACAAATGAATACTTACTTTGCTATTACAGTACCATTTAAGCTCCTAGAGTTCAAAGAACAATATAATGGTGTCTGCAAAGTAACTTCAAATTTTGGCAATACTGGAAAAGAAAAGTAAGGGTAAATATCTTAAAGAATCTATTTTACTATCACTTTTAGCTTAACAAAATAAAGACTGAATTATTCTAATGAAGTCGACAATTGGTACTATTTGAACTTAGACTCCTTAGAATCCAAATACATAGTAACACACAGATGAAAAGCACTCTATTTCATCTAAAATGAAAAACCCTCAGGAGGCTGGCGACTAGACAATGATAGTGTGGGCCAGTTGCTATGAACACTTGTGTCAGTGGAAGCTTCTCATTGGTAGAACCTACATGTATCCAGAACCCTAGCTGCTAAGGCATCTGAATGCTGGGAGACCAGGGATCATCCATTGGTGCCACCTTACTGCTTGTTAAAATACTTGCCCATCATGTGGTAAATAATTGCTTCTAGAGCACTCCTTTCCCTAGGACATTCTCCAACTTGGTTACTAAAAGTACATCCTAGGCCCCAAGACTCTCCCTCTGCATGATGCCATGTATGCAGTTATACAGAATCCTTATTCTTTGAGACAATCAAAGGTGAATCTGGAGATAGTCAAATGTAATGGATTGCTATGAAGGGAAAGTTGTATAGCAGGATTTCAAAGTAATGATGCTTTTCCTCATGTGACAGTGATTCCTGAAGTCAATCCCAAAGTTAAAAGCCCCTACTTTGGTCAGCTTTATATAATTAAGATATGAAACATTTTATAAATATGAACACTATGTAATATAAAGCATATCACCAGAGTAAAAAAATTTGTATCTTTCTAGTCTATAGAAATTTTTTTCTCGAACTTCACTAGCGGGGTAAGGAGGTGAGAATGTATTGGGGGGGGGGGGGGGGGAGCAACAAGGGTAGGGGGACGAGATGGGGGGGGTGGAGGGGGTTGTGAGGGGAGGGGGTACAAAGCATCTCCCTCTCCCACCATTAAATTAAACGACACACTACCTACCCCCACGTACCCCACACTCCACCACCACACCCCCCCCCCCCCTGCCCCCCGTCCCAACTAGAAACCCCACACCACTCCAACACACTGCACCTCGGGCCACCAAAGCCCAAGCATAGCCACACCGTAATGAAAATTACCATAGACTCCCCGAAAACCCACACTAGCCCAACATAACATGCCACAACTCCCACACCACTTCTTGCCCCCCTGCCTAACCCACCTACCCCATCTAATGAATACCCTACATCAAAACACCAACCACATCACCACCACACTTGCCATGGCCCAATAGCCTCACACTACACCATGGTGCCCACTTGATTATCTTCTTTATAGCACATGCAACTGACCAACCGCACACCACCACTCCAGCGCCCTACCTAAGCCAAAACCCCAATTACACTACGCACCCCCCCAAACCCCCCCCTCCCCCCCCTCCTACCAGATTCCAACAAAAAAATACTCACCAAACAAAGTATCCCACTCCCACACGGCCCACAACAACAAACCCCCATACCACCCACACCGCCCCCAAACCACAACCCATCTCACAAAAAACCTCAAAAAATAGAAAAAAAACCAAACCACCACAACCCCCCACAGCAACAAAACCCCCACCCCCCAAACCTCTACCCAAACCACCAATTCCAACCTCCCCCCAACCCTCCCACCCACAGTGAGTCCCCCAACCACCGATGCCCCCCCTCACTCCCCCCCAAATCCCCCCCACCAAACCCTCACCTCTGCACCTACCCAGCACCCAATCCCATTCCCACCTCCACCCGCCCAAACCCAAAATACGTACAGAATTTTTCCCCCCCAACCCCTCCACTAAACAGCCCCAACCCCCAATAACCCCACCCAAACCAAACCCATACAAACCACCCCAAAACCACACTCTGGATCATAGCCACATTCACTTACATATTGTCTACGGTTGCTTCCTGCTACAACAGCTAAGTTGAGTAGTTATGACAGAGACATATGGCCCACTGAGCCTAAAATATTACTAACTGGCCCTTTCTAGGAAAAAAATTTTGCTGATTCTTGTTCTAGTGGATCATGAGACTTAGAAGTAACAGTGCTGGGGCTCCTGGGTGGCTCAAGTCAGTTAAGCATCTGCCTTCTGCTCAGGTCATGATCCCAGGATCCTGGGATCAAGCCTAGCATTGAGCTCCCGGCTCAACGGGGAGGCTGCCACTCTCTCTACCTCTACACCGCCCCCCCTGCTTGTAGTCAGTCTCTCTCTCTCTCTCTCTTTCTCTCTCTCTCTCTCTCTCTCTCTCATAAATAAATTTCTTTTAAAAAGTGACAGTGCTGGATGAGTTCTGTGGAACCTGAGCCACAAAGTTGTGGCACTACTTTCCAGAATTACTACTGCCTGAATGAGATACAATGTCAAAAAGTGACACAAATCAAATGAAAAAGCTCATTTGTAGCCTCAAAATAGCCCCCCAAATTATAACTAAGAGTGAGATCCTATACTAACAGATGAGATCCTATCCTCAGCTTTCCTCCCTCTCCATCTACCAACAAAGTAATTGAGCCACGTGGTCTTTATCTATGCATGTATAACTTCTATAAATGTGACACCTGCAAGAAGAGGATTAAACCAAGTTAAACAAACTGTCTTTACCAAAGCCTACCAAATGAAAAATATGGGAAATAACTAATGTTATGTTAAAAAATAACAAAGATGTAAATATGTTAAGAGCACAACAAAGTAGAAAAACAAAAAAATCATGCATAAGAAAGACCACATAATAGGACTCTAGATGATCGGTTTCCTTTTTTTTTTCTTTTTTTCCCACAATAACCATCTATATCTTTTACAAAGGAAAAAATATGTTTAGGCCTGTAAGAAATACCAGGATTTTACCTTCACTAGGATTTTTATTTTAAATAACCTATCTCTTGGAAATCTCTCTTATCTCTGTGGAAAGTTTCAAATATTTTTTCTTTCAAAATAAATTGAAGAACTCTTACCATATTCTGAAACCTGAAATGATTGATAATATGTCTGGTCCTATTGGGAGGAAGGAAAAAAGATAAAACATAAAAGAGTTCTTATTTAATTATTTCGCTTGCTTACTTACCTACATAAAAAGATTTAGAAAATTATTTTTAATTGCATTTATAATGATTCAATGAGAAGAACAGTTCATTTTAACTTGTGGAAGTTTATTTTTAGTCACCTGCAACATGAAGCCTATGAGATTTCATGAGTTTTTCTTGTCAATTCACTAATACAAAAAGGTGATCTGTCTCTATATTTCACTGCAGGTCATTTGAACAAACTGTTTATTTTGACTTTAAACATTTGTGAAATGAAAATTAGATTAAATTACACATTCTAGGAATTTATGAAGCAAGAATAACACATGTCAAACCGTGACTTCAAATTTGTTTTAAATTTCACTCTCAAAAAAAAACAATGGAGAAAATAAAGTTACACATAATTCAAGTATTTATACATAATCAAAAATATAAAATCATCATGGATTAACATCTTTTACCTTCCAAAGTCCTTGAATTACTTTCTTGTGCAAACCTTCAAATAATACATTCTACTCTATTTTAACAAATATTATTATTTCCTTTTCTACAATCAACAAGAAAATATGTGGCCTATTATTATGTCACTTTTCCTAATTCCCTATATTTCTGCCCACTCTAAATCCATAAGTAATATATTAAATAGAATCTCTTCAAAATAGCTAAGTAGCTCCACCATTAAAATTTGCATTCTAGGGATCCCTGGGTGGCGCAGCGATTTGGCGCCTGCCTTTGGCCCAGGGCGCAATCCTGGAGACCCGGGATCGAATCCCACATCGGGCTCCCGGTGCATGGAGCCTGCTTCTCCCTCTGCCTGTGTCTCTGCCTCTCTCTCTCTCTCTCTGCGACTATCATAAATAAATTTTTTAAAAAATTGCATTCTAAATCTGATTCTCTATGTTTATCAAAGCAAATACACAGATGCAGCTACAAATTAGGTTCTTTTTTTTTTAATCATCCTTGGTTAATCCAAAGCAACTGTACAAGTTGTTTTTTAATCCTAAAAGAAGGATAGAGTTCATTTCAAAGTTTAAAACAAATGTAACTATTTATATGCTAACAAAATAATTGCTTAAAACTTGGCCTCGATGATGTCATTTAAAGTAGATCCCAAAGAAATTGTGTTGATCAAGGCCTTAAGAATCACATTTGTGGCTTCTATCTTAAATTGTTTTCATGTCCTATATAGGAATGTTGCAATTACATGTATTCGGTTCATTTACAAATTCTAATTTGTCATCCGCAGAAATCAGATCAAGAAGGTAATCTACCCGTATTGCCTCTTTTACTTATAAACACAAGAATGCTGGTCATGAAATCAGTTTTGGCTTTATTACTGAGGCTAGCACAGGTGAGGCTATGTAATAAGTAATTTTAAAACAATGATGATGTTTCTCCCAAGTTAAATTCATATTGCAAATTCTCAGTAAGTACTACATGCAAAACACCATATGAGGCTCTGTAAAGATAAATTAGTCTTCAACATAGGAAGGTCAGTCAAGAGATGGAAACAAACATAGTAAACAGCAATAATGCAAGACTGACAGTGTCCTGCAGTTTTATGCACTGTGTTTCAGCTCCTACTCTCCCCTATGCTTATCCTACTCATACTTCCATCTCTACTCATCTTCTAAGACTTAACTCAAATATTATTGCTTCCCTGAATCCCCAATCCAAAAGCAATCTTGGCACTCTAAGCTTCTATGCTCTATAGTTCCCTCTGTCCCTTTTTACACCATAAATATTTAGGTATGTAATTTATCTTGCTGCAAGTTCTTTGAGCACCATGTCCATGTTGGATCATTTTTTTATCCCTCATAGCTTATTCTTCAAGGTGCCAACCTAAGAATGTCTAATACCAAAAAAAGTGCTTAATAAATATGTGTTAGATTAAGTAAATAGAACTAGCTTTGACAAATGTAGGAAATGAACTGATTTGTTTGGGCCTACTTTAAATAGCCTTGAAACCAAGTTTTAGGCACTTATTTGTTAAACACGTAAGTAGTTACATTAACTATATTTGAAATGAATTCTCCTCTTCTGTCTCCTATATTATTCATCATCTCTGATAATTCCTGGATTTTCCATCTCCCCTGTTTACTATCTCCTCCTTCATTCAGTCTATGCTGAAATGTTGGCCCTACCCACCCTGAACCTGATGCTCTTCCCATTCTTCAGACTCTTAAGTGAGTTCATCAACTCTCACAGTTTTAATTGCCATCTCCACGCTAAAAACACTTAAATCTATATCCTTGGCCCATACCTCAGCCCAGAGATTCAGACTTAAGTCCACTTTCTGGATGTCTCCCCTTGAATGTCCTACAGAAGTTATTGGACTTCTTTAACTGGATTTAGCCTCCTCCAGAGAACTTTTCTTATTTGCCTTTCCTCGTATTGGGTTAGATACCATTCCCTCCCATAATAACTTTTATATAACTCAACTGTTTCACTTAACACAATATGTTATAATTATCTGCGTTGTATCCATCTAAATCACTGGGTGCCGAGCACCTAATTCAGTATGCTTTCAATGTTTGTTAAATAAATGTATGTAAAAATGAATGAACAAATAGATTCTTGTCCCCAGGCTTGTTCTTACAGGGCTCCTCAGATTAACCTCAATTACTATACAGTGTCTCCTGCTAGAAATTGAAATAACCTTCTCATAAGAAGAATCAAGACAACCCTGAAGAGACACGGCCGTTTGTCAAATGGCACAGAGTAACCTTAACTTTCTGTCCTGTATTTGGAAGGAATATAAATGCCAAGGAGTGGAAGAGGCCAACAGCATGGAAAAGTGGAGGAAAAAAAGTAAAAGAGTGCTTCTTTTTACCGTCATTTTAAATTGTTCCAGTAAATCACAAAACCATTTTGTAACTGAGCGCTGACAGGGTGCTTTGTACTGGATGATGTTTTCCCAGGGTGTTTATAAGTGGTGAAATGCAAATCAAGAAATAAGTTATTTTACTATCCAAGGGTTTTCAAAAGCAGAAATGAGTTTTGTAATTTTCAACATATTATCCATTAGGCAATCAGGCCATACCAATTTCCACAATGAGTTCAGTCATTTTTATTAAATATTTTTACAAAACATATAATCAGGAATGGTAGAAGATATTGAAATACTTGAAACTATTAATAATTCAGAGAATCAGTAGTAACTTATGTCATATATAACCATAAAAACACTGAGTACTTTCATAAGTCTAGAACAGGTATTTGCAAAATTTTTCTATGAAGAATCAATAGTAAATGTTTTAGGCTTTGCAAACCTATATGGCCCCTGTTGTAACTATTCAACTCTGCCTTGAGGCCACAGGTAAATAAATGAGACTATATTCCAATAAAACTTTATTTACAAAAATAGCTGTTGGGCTAGATTTGGCCTTTAAGCCAATTTTGCTGAACCCTGATCTAAAAAAAATAAAATGTACTTCCAAATTGTTCTATGTTAACTCTAGATGAACTAAATTGACTAACCTTAACTAAAAACATGAGAAGAAAAAGAAAAAGAAAAGCACAATCCCATTTACTAAAAATGTTCCTTCAGTTCCACAGAAACAATCTGCCTCAAAATGAGTTTTCATGATTATTCTAGCTCATCAAATGCAATTTGTACTCATTTACTCTGCCAACAACTGGAGAGGAAGGCTGACCTGAAAGAGTAAATATTTCAGCAGCATGTCTTCAAAGAAAACACCTTTCCAGGTGCAAGAATACATAACTCATCAACATCTTCTGAGTGCTGCTTTTCTCAAGTGGTCGCTCTTCCATGGTGAAAGTGCTCCCTTACAAAACCTGCTCTTAGCATATATATTCACTCTTTATTTGTATGAGATATAAGCCTGTCTCAATTAGACTTCCTAAACAAATTCCAAAGGAGAAATGGAAAAGAAGAACCAGGACGTATTCTCAGTAATCTCTGTAATTTCTTTCTTCCCCTTATCCCTAAATCAATAGTTCATTGTGACAGTATATGTTACAAACATCGACCAAATGAAAGAGAAAATACCAGTAAAAGTAAATTTCTTTCACTAGTCCTAAAAAATATGCTATGACTGGATGCAAATTAAAGACATGTGAATTGCTACAAACATCTATTCCAGTCACAGAATTTCTCTTCTCTAACCATGAAGCCATCCAGCTCTTGAGAGAATTTCTATTTTTAATAAACTTAAAGGAATATGGCATGCTACATGATCATTTAAAAAAAAGATATATTTTTTTTTAAATGCAGGTCAGCTTCTTTTAACTCTTATTTCTGAAGTAAAAAGAAATGCCAGAAACACAACTAAGGTGCTGGGTGGATTTTTGTTTGCACATTTATGTTCATTAATGATCATTTCAATTTCCCAAAAGTCTGCTTCAGCTTTGATCTCCAATGTCTGGATTTAATTCGTATTTAAAGATGAATAAAGGTGCTGAACTTCTTAAATCCATACATAACAAACATAGAATTGTTTCGGACTCAGTTTTGGCTCTATCCCCCAAGACAATAGATGCCAACTACATCCACATTCCCAAGCCAGGTGCAAGTCTAGCACACAGGACTTACAAAGGAGGTTTCCAAAAACTAGTTTTGCAACCCTTAACCAACACAGTCAAAATGGAAATAAGCTAGAAAGGAATTTTAGGAGACAGCTTTTGATGTGCTTTCACACGTCAGTGGCTGTAGGCAGGCACCTGACATGCCCGAACAATCTAAGAGCAAAATAATGGTATTGGGCAGCTGTGCAGAGAGCTAAGCTAAGACACAGTGCTGCATTGGGAGTGGTCTGTGTCTACTGAGTTGCAAGAAGCAAAGAAAGCATAAGCCATTTTCCCTCAACTAGATATGCAAAAAAGAGAGAGCCAGCATGGGGCTATCTTCTATCTTGATCAAAAATAGCCTCCAGAGGAGGAGCAGCTCTGGAGGGGGAGGCTGGAGGTATACTGTAGATGCCCAGAAGCTGAAGACAAAATTATAAGCTG